TTCTGGTTCACAAATATGATTTTAAAATATACTGAGGAACTTCTTTAAAATGTTTTATAAGTAGCTCTAGAAGTTTATTTCCAAAATGATTTTAGAAAAGTATTTTAAATTAAATACAAATCCTAAGAATGTATAAATTGCATTTGGCTTACTTACTGGAAAGCAAAATATATTAGTTCTTTGCTAAATTCAGCCAAAAACCGAACTGACAGCTCCCATGGAATGGAATTTCACACAGTCTTGCACTCCAGTTCTTATTATTACTACATATCTAATTCCTTTATCTTAACCTCTCATTCTAAGTAAGAAGTCTTTATCTCAATCTCTCATTCTAAGTACCGTAATTTCCGGAAGAAACGCCACGGCGTTTATGTGTTTAAAACTTAAATTTTTCAGCGGTGGGCTTAGGTGCACTAAAAATAAATATTTCCTAATGGTCATGTACATAGTTTTGGATGGTTTGTCATGTGCATAGATTGGTGCTGTTCCCACACAAAAACCATTCAGTTGCTTTTGTGAACGTTATTTTGTTTACATTCTTTCCCTTGAACGGACCTACATGCTTATTCACCCTAAACGATCTCAGAACAATAACATTCTTCCTCCTTTTCAAATCAACATTATCATCAGTTGAATAGTCTCTCTCCTCTGTCATTCGATGAATCTTCCAGGACCCATTCCTCTCCCCCCTGCTTTTCTGCAATTTTTTTTTCAAGGAGGACCCGACTCACCTGCCTCGCAATAACACAACTCGAGGTTTCCCCTTCAGCAGAAGATTTTTTTTGCCATTCTGCCAGATACAGATCCATCAGTTTGGGTACAAGTACTTGTTGGATATTTTTAAGTAAGAAGGGAGCGAAAAGTTTTGAAATGTCCCTGAAAGGCACAGAGCTATAACGCTGGTTTTAAGCTTAATGTAATTTACGTGCGAACAACGGAAATCGAGCAGCAGCTCGAAATTGAAGTGGACGACCGGATGTATTCGACATTGGAGAACTGAAAAAGAAATTCTTAAAATATGCACAAACAGAACGAGCCAAAAGAAGCGGTACTGTAAGGTGGCCAAATCTAGAGGAGACCTTACAACTGGATCAAGGACAACGAGGGAAAGGGAATGGCAATTTTCGACTGTAAAAATTCGCTTACAAACAAAACTTTAGCAAAAACAAATGAACATAAATGATTTCAAAGGAGGAGTAGCATTTATGAAAAAGAAAAAATAGTCTTGGTACTAGGAACAACAGTCGGGCAACAATTACCAATGGACTGGCAAGATAAAAAGGCATTTTTTCTAAAATATATGACAGATATTATTGACAGTAAAAAAACTTCTTCGATCACAGATAATAAATATGGATTAAACACTGTTAGCTTTCGACTCTTCTGCAAACAGAACTGTTGATGAAGCTGGTGTAAAAACTGTATCTGTGCTTACGACGGGGCATAAAAGAACATCATCTACATGTGTGTTAGCTTGTGCTGCAAATGGTGACAAGCTAAAGCTGATGATAATTTTTAAATGAAAGACTATTCCGAAGGGAGATTTTCAATGATGTAATTATTTAATATGCACGAGTGGCTACAAAATGTTGACATGTTTATGGGATCTTTCTTCCAAACCAAAGGGGTTATTCATAATGGATTCCATGCATGCTCATTTCTTTGAGTCAGTGAAAACCAGATGTCAAAAATTCTACGACCGAAGCAAATATTCCTGGTGGTTTGACAAAAATCTTACAACCATTATATTTGTCAGGTAATAAATCCTTAAAGCTGAAGTCCGAAAGCGGGATTGTTGGATGAGTGAAGGATTGCATACGTAAACCAAAAGCGGTAAAATACGTAGAGCTCTTATGAAGAGAAATTGCAAAGTGGGAAGAAGTGCATGAAATTGGTAGAAACATCGTCAATAATAGCAGGCTTCAAAAAAAGAAATTATATCCTTAGATTAAAGAGACTGTAAACCAAGAATGAAGTGACGATCTGGAAACTTAGATCAGGTTACTACATCTTTTTAATTCAGATAGTGAAGAATCAGATTTTGATGGCTTCATATGACATAGTTTGCTGGAATCGTAAGTAAATTTAAAATTTCCTTTTGTCATCCAATTTAATATTCGTTGTTGCAATATTTTTTATAATATAGTCTGAGTATTACAAATATGGACATCTTTAGTGGGTAAATATAAGTATATACAGGGGTTGGACAAAAATATGGAAACACCTTTAAAAAAACATGTTTCTTTGCTTAATATGGTGTAGGAAACCCGTTGGCATCCAAAACAGCTTGCAGTCTTCTCGGAATGGATAAATACAGTTCCTGTATGTTTGCCAAGGGATTATTATACCATTCTTCCTGCAAAACGGTGGCAAGTTCAGATAACGATGTTGGCGGTGGATAACGAGAACGTACTTCCGTTCCAATGTAGACCACAAAGGTTCGATATATTTCAGGTCTGGTGACTGTGGTGGCCAGGGGAGATGGGACAACTCATCCTCGTGCTCAGAAAACCAGTCCTGGACAATGTGAGCTGTGTGAACAGGGGCCGTGTCGTCTTGGAAGACACCATCACCATCGGGGAACAAAGTTTGTACCATGGGATGAACTTGATCGGCCAAAATGTTCACATAAGTCTTGGCAGTCATGTGCCCTGACACAGTTATGATGGGGCTAGCAGAGAACCACGATATGGCTGACCAAACCATAACAGAACCCCCGCCATGTTTCACTCTTGGCAACAAGCAGTCTGTATTATAGGCTTGAGATGGCGTTCTCCAGACGTAAACTCGGCCAGAAGTGGGAAACAATGTGAAAGAAGACTCGTCAGACCATATTACTCGCTTCCACTGCTCTATAGTCCAGGCCTTTATGACTTAAACACCACCTTTTCCTGTTACGGGCATTAGCATCACTGATGAGTGGCTTCTCAATTGCAGCACGGCCAGCAATGCCCTGTTTGTGAAGCTCCCTTCTAATTGTTTTGGTACTCACAGGGTTCGGGTAACACAACATTCATTTCAGCAGTAGTACTTTGCAGCTGTGGTCTTCTTATTTTTTCGTCACAATTGCCCTTAATGATCGTCTGTCACGATCACTCAGGACACACTTTCGTCCGCGCGCTGTGATTTAGCAGATGATGTTTTTCCGCTTTTCCAAATATGCGGAATAAATCTTCGATACAGTACTTCTTGAAACACTAAATGTTTCAAGACTACCTTGCTTACGGAAGCACCTACCATACGTGCTCCAACAATTTGCCCATGTTCGAAGTCTGTTAACTCTGACATAATGCAATGACAACCTCACATAACAGTACTCCGACAAACAACTGAACTGTTTAGCACATTTACAAAGTTGTATAGGTGACGTCAGTAGTCAAAAACACCAGCGCCACCTACATATTTCATTAAAATCAATCTTTCTTTTCAAACATGCATTTCACAAGGTGTTTCCATATTTTTGTCCATCCACTGTACGTGAAGATAAATATATTTTCCACATTTCTTACCTTTAATTTATTTTTGAGTTATGGTTTCATTTCATGCATTTTTCTTAACTGGTATGTCATATATGAGGACTTAGGTTGAGTTTTTGCATCTATACGGCCCACGACGATGTCATGCGCAATTTAATCTATTGCGGCGTTTCTGTGTAATTTAAATTTTTTCCCCGCCATTTTTCTTGAGTGCGGCATTTACGCTGATGCGGCCTTTCTTCCGGAAATTACGGCAGTATTTTTAAAGCATTTTAAATAAGCCAAAGACACTATAGTCACAAATGCCCATGCCTTATATGTAATTCAAATATGACCTGAATCTAGTGTCTGTTAGATCGAGTAACTGCTATTCAGGACAAGCAATAGAGAATGATCATAAAGAAAAAGATACACATTTTTTGGAGTGAAATTAAATTGTGATTATATAAATTAAATTATTATTATGTAAAAACATCTAAAAAAACATTACGCCCAAAGGGGCATTTTTTTAGCATTTTCTGTATTACCTTTATTAATTAAATATCATGTTCTTGGCACTTAAACCATAAAATTCAGTTCAACAGCAATGTCACAAATTAAATATAAAAATTTTAAAATGAGCATATCTTTAGAATTTCCAATACATAATCTAGTGTGCTGGAGATAAAATGTTTTTTTTGCCCTGTACAGTGTTGCCATTGCTCGTTTCAAAATCATTGAGTTTCTTAATCAAAAACACATCAATTTTTTTGATTAAGAAAATCAAAAACTCATAAATGTCTTACAAAATATAAAATAGATAATAAAACAAATTCCAAATTTGGGCTTCTAGATGCCCATAGTTGGAGGAGTATTATGTTATTCAAAATTGGATGGCTCTAAAGAGGCTATCACTTCTAGGGACGCGTGCGCTCACCCAGGACAATTCCGAGAAATGAGATTCTAGTAGGACTGCTTTAAGCGGGAGGCTTCCGCGAAATGTTTCGTCTAGCTAGGAGGAAGCATGTCCTGGCTATGAGCAACATTTTAAAACTTTTCCGAAAATGTTCCGGCTGGAGACATGCTCCTCGAACGTTAAAACAATCAGACGAAAGTTCTGCTTCTGAAAGATCACGGGTAACTTTCAATATGGCGATGGCACTCACTGCGAATTCATGGACAGTAGAAATAGCTGCCGATTTAATTATTGCTGTTTTGTTGTAATAATACAACTGCCTGAGTCATTTTTAAAATGTTTATACATTCATTAAATATATTATCGTGGAAATTTCAGAGTTGAGAGTATTTTACGACATTCTTGCAGTTCAGATTTCTTTACAAATTGTTCCTCACCAAAAGTTCGCCAAATTTGTTGTATTTTGTGCTGATCATATATTATCACTTATATAATAGAATTTTATGTATTAAATTTAAGTTGAATAATTTTTTTAAATCAGTTTGTATATGCGCAGCTTTTCTCCTAATTACTTATCTTTTAAATTGTTAATTGCATAATCAGTGACACATTTTAAACAGCATAAAAGATGCATAAAAAAAGAAAAGCATAGCTTATGTAATAATGAGAATACTCATTAACTTTATCTATTATTTTCATGTTATTAATGAAATACTTTTTGGATTACAAATACATTAGAAACTATACTTTTATTGTAAATGCTACATATTGAAACATTGGAAATTTATGGATTTATTATTATTCATGATGAAAAACATTTGTATATACATTCATTAATATAAATCTTATCCATTACATTAATACTAATAAATATATATTAACAACTTCTAAACCATCGCATCTCTCTATCTGTATGTAAATATATGATTTATTAGATGTGCATATATATGTATGCATGAATACAAAAAAGAACATTGCCAAAAAGTTTATTTGAAGTTACTTTTAATTCATATAACGATCATGTAATTGGCAGCAACTGTACTTATCAGTTCTTTGCAAATTACAGTCAAAAGTTGTTAATTCGGACACCCATAATTCGAAAAGATCTATAATCCGGACCTCAAAACTAAAAACTTTTTGCGCATGCGCCGCGTTGACACATGCGCATAGGCGTTTACGCGTGCACGTAAGACCTTTTACGATTGCGCATATGAGTGTGCGCAAGTGCAGAATACGTTTTCGCATGCGCATTTTATGTATAATGGACGTATAAGCTAAAATTATCTAATTATCTATTTCAGTTAATGTTGATGATTGCGTTGTTACTTAATTTCCGAATTGGATCCGGCTTATTATTTTTTGCAGACTGTAAGAGCAATTTTATAAAAGTAAGCTTAAACTTTCGATTACATCAAATAGAATTTCCGATATATATTTGTTAATATGTAAAGGATCTAAAGCGAAAGTATGTTTTGAAATCCGAAATCTGTTTATCAATTTCACGCTGCTCGGCGGGGGGAACGCCGCGGTGAGCGCGTAATGAATTGGAAGTTGATCTGTCAGCACTATCCTTATCTTCAGCGCAGATGTTTTTATTTTATTTGGCTTATAATTCCTTACCAAATGTAGTATTTCATCTTGATATGCTCCGTCTTTGATATGATTTAAAACAAGTTCCTTGTCATTATAATTCGCTTCCGATAGAGAAGAAAGTGACAGAGGTTATTGAAAACGAAAAAATTTCAGTTGACAAATTAGTCGGTGTTCTCGACACAGCAATTATAGGGCTTGAACAGCGGAACTTTGTAACTGAACACGAAATTATGTCTGTTTAATAGAATTAAAGAGAAAGTATTATCACATGAAATGAAGCAAAACTTAAACAACTTACATTGAAAGAAATGTTTAATAAAGTAAACAAATAAATATTAAGCTTTTCTTTTTGCAAATTTTGATACCCTTTAGATCATAATTGTTTTTTATTTCATAAATACGGTTTCATAATTTTTAATTTTAGAATTTCTGCATGCCATCTTACGAGATTTAAACTGATGATCTATAATCCGGAATCGCCGAAGTCCTGACGAGTCCGGATTAACGACTTTTGACTGTATTATGGATATGTAATAATCAGTTGAAAAATAATTGATGAGCATTTGAGTACTAAAGAGTGTACACATTTTGTATTGGGTTAATTCATAATTATATCATATGTATGATCTACGTAACATAAACATGACTAATAAAATGAATAAGAAATGTAACAGCTGTGCATTTATAACATTTGATATTACTTAAAACAGTGCACAACTGATTATCACCTTCATATCGTGTGTGTTTACAATAATGAATTGTACTTTCCAATTAAGTGCACGGGCCTACTAGTGGCCGAAGCATCGTTGAATACTGGCAGTTCTGTCTCAGGTTAGAATGCCGCGAAAGGGCTGGCTACATAGGCGTTTTCTTGGTTTTCCCACTTGTAACCAGTATACGAGCCAGTTTAAAAAAATCTTTTACAAAGGGATCCCTCCTGTTAGGCAGATATCCCTCGAGGCTTTGCCGTAATCACATAAAACAAACTCATGATGTGCACACCTAATTTCTAGAGTTGGTAAAATTAATGTGTTTTAGGTATATTACCGAGTGTTCTATGGGACAGTAAACAACTTGCACATGTTTGACTGCTCATGTATTCATACGCTTTATTTGATCTTAATTTTGCTGAATAGTATCTGCCGGCTGTGAGGATGTAAATATCAGCCATATAGATTTTTGCCATAGGTCTTCTTTTTTTTTTTTTTGTTTTTGTCTGTTTGTTTGAATGGACAGAACAGTAGTGAGCCATCAAATTTTCATTGAAATGCAGACAACAGAAAATACACATAAGAGATGTTTGATAGACTTATCCAGCACACGTTTTTAAACTATTCTTAGTGTATACAGAATTTGGCCATTACTGATGTAATTGATTGCTATAACCAGAAGTGTGTTTATCTGTTACTTGACATGCCAGAGTGGAGATCAAAGTGATTAACTTGATAGCAATCACCTTTCTATTATCTTCCATTACTAACAATAAAGTTTAAAACGAAAAGAGTGTGAGCGATACAAAACAACACGAAGAAGCAAACGTCACTTTCGCCAATCTGAGCGATAACTGATTCTTGTTTGGCTTTCAGCCTGTTTACCAAGTGAAGATGGTAACCCTATTTCGCCAAAGAGCGTTTTTCAGAACTGTTCCACCAAACCTTTTATTCCGGCAACAAATATCGTATGTGATAAGGGTTTAAGTACCATTGTTTTATTACAGTCCAAGAAACATACATACATTTATGCAGATTCTTCATTATTTAATTTCTTTAAATATAACACAGGACAACAATATTGGGTGGCAACTGTCTGAAAAGTGAAGCAACGCAGAAAGTGATTTGACGCAAAATGCCTTTGGGCTAATTACTGGAAAATTATTAATTTATTTACCATCATTTTAAGACAGTCAAGTTATGCTTATGCATGAAATTTGAACTGTCTTATAATTTCTTGTTCATCAGATTTTGTCAAAAATCCATTAAATATGATTATATTCTTATGAACAGTATACTTAAAAATAAGGACTGTACACTTAAGAATTTTTATTATATATGGCTCATTATTTTCAACTTTTTTTATCTTAATGATTAAAAGAATGATAGACCTAAATTCATTTGAAATATGTAGTACATTTATATAAAGTTTTTTCTACAAAGCTACCATAGGAATTAATACCTGAAGTTATACTTAAATTTACAAATTATCTTGTGTATTAAAAGAACAGTTTAATTTGCATTTCAAAAATATTACAACACTTACATACTTTTAAAGACAAATATAAAATGATGATATGAATTTGAATTGTACTACATCTATTAAGAAAACGTGTGACACTAACTACATCCTCAGTTAAAAGGTTGAATGCAGCCATAGGTCCTTAATGAATTTATCTGATATATTTTATACTTTAAGTAACTAATAAGTAAACTTTATGTGCCAAAAATAACAAAGCCACAGTTACAAACAAATCTTTTTCATCAATTTAAATCTTATTAATCTAAGTTGAATAAATAGGTTTTTTTACTCATAGCTCATTTTAATATTTTTGTTAAGTATAACTTACCTATGAGATGTTAGCACCACTGAACGGCCGCTTTTTACAAGTTCAGTAATTAAATTCCACAGAAAACGTCGAGTGTAAGGATCCATTCCAGTTGTTGGTTCATCCTGAAAACACAGCACAATATTTAACGATGACAGAATATACTTTCTCTAACACAGGGTTCATATATATTTCTTTACACGGAAAAGCACTTTTAAGGAATTTATAGAATAAAAATGAAAAAATGTAAAGATCTATCAGCAAACAGAATTAAATAAGGAATTATCTACATAACAACCTTCACTTTTATACCATTCTAAGAATAAAATAGAAGTATGTAGGATACATTATTATTAAACACAATCTAATATTTAACATAAAATAAGTTTTAGAATAAAACCAACTCCTTAATGTTATTAGGTTGGGTTAGCCATTATACTGATATCCGTGTCTTTTTAACCCTATTTAAAAAGACAAGAATGTCCACTTTAGTGGTTATGCCTCCATTTTCTAAGCTGAAAGAAAAGAGTGAACTGTCAAGTTTGTGTCTAGAGACTTCAATTATTCTTTAAAAGGCCTTTGTATTAAGGATCTGGCATTTCCTAACTTTCCCGTTTCATTCTCGCACTTTCAAAATTTGGGATGACCATATTGTATTAATAAGTCATAAACAGAGCCTTGCATTGCTTTAGAATATACCCTATTTTTACAAGATTTATTATAAATATTTTAGTTTTTTTATAGCAACATGCCGAAATGAAAAAGATGATTTACTGAAGAAGAAATACGAAAGTTTCATCCATAGTTTGTGAAGCGCTAAATTATATAACATCATAAAACGCAGAATAATAATACATAGTATTGGAGACAGCAACTAACTATGTTGCATCCTTTTTTGCATTCTTTCAAAAACTGCATACACTGCACAATTTCCCCCTTTTGATTTAAAAGCTTTTTGCTATTAAAAAATTCCCACAATTTTATAACACAGTAAAACATGTTCCCTTATTAAGGCTATGAAATTAGAAAAAATAAGACCAAAGAATTTCAAGTGTAAATTTAGTACTTTTCATTATGGTTTTGTAATGCTAAATACGTTAATATTTTAGTCAATTAAATTCTTTCTATCACTCACAACTGAAAAATAATATTACTTGCTAATTTTCATTAAAAAAATTTTTTTTCAAATAATTTTTCACTTATTAATTTTTAAAACTAAAACATATTATTCCAGAAAATAGTTTATATAGCTTTACTGTCTTATTCTGTCGATCTTTTAAAACTGAACTTAACATAAATTAGATGCAGTTAAGAAATGAAGCACTGCAGTACGAAAAATGTACTGCAAAGTTCCATTTACTGCACTGCACTACCACAATATTAAAAAGAAATGGAGTCACTTTTGAATAGCACACAGTGCATTCTTGACAGTTTCGCCCCTTAAGCATTAGGTTTTTCAAGCAAGTTTTTAACATTTATTTAGACTAAATTTAAAAAAATTTAAACTTTGCAGAAAAGTTAATCATTTCTACAGTTTTTTTTTCCACAGACATTTTTTTAAAGATTTCGGATATTTTTAATATCATACATAAGCAAAACTCAAAATGGTACTTACGTATTATCGCAACCAGGTTGGCGCTATTTGTAAGTTTGAGTAAAAAAGTATGAACAGAAAGAAAATGTACATTTATTAGTTACAGATAATTTTTAATACAGTTTTTTATATTATTTTGTTTTAAAATATAAAATAGCAATTAAACCCTTCCAGTTTCAAATTTGAATAAGTTGCAGAATTATTTTTTCGGCGGAAATCTTTTGGCTATTGCTTTTAGCACTGATTGAAAACTGTATTCGCCATAACCATGTACACGTCGACTTATTTTTACTTAAAAAAAATCCCAGAATTGCACAAAAAGGGCATTTGCGCACACTCTTGACTTTATCCATGTACGCTGCCATTTTCTCATAAATTACAAAAATTTGCACGAAAATGCAGGAAAATTTTGTGAATCTCCACATGCTTTTTTTGCAAAACTACATATAATATGTAGGGTTGCCGTAAGTAGGGTCGCCAAATTTGGTAATTTATGCGAATTTTGGCCTGGTTGCGTTAATACGTAAGTACCCTCAAAATTTCAGGTAAATTTGAAGTACACAGCTTTTCTGTTTACTGCAACATTTGTATATCCTCCCACCCCCAGCTTATGAAATCATGAAACTTGAATACATTCAAGAAAATAAGTTCATAAAATTTACAGAAAAAAATTCATATGCACTATGAAAACAAAATGGAGATCTGATAAATTTAAAGACTGTGATTATCTATAAAATAACAAAATAGTGAGGAATTTTATCATATAACTTTAAAATAAAAATATAACAGAATTAATTCTTGTTCAAAATTTGTAAAGATACTTAATTTAGTAAGGTAAATTAAAATTATTATTTAAAAAATAAAACTATGTGCTACAAAAAGGAGAAACAGAATGACATTTCCCATAATGGAAATATACATTCTTTTCTGCATACCACTGAATATTCTAATTTGGAATCAATTGCAATTTACATTTTTTCCTTTCATAAGGAAATCATCTAGCAATTTAGTCAATAAATCCTTACAATTCCCTTTCTTTTGTGAAATAAATGCCCACCTCCAAGGATGAATCAAACTGCCTAAAAGGGCAACTGCACAAACAGTAGTTTCTTGAAGGGAGAAAAGCTTTGGGCTCTATGCCCAAAAGATTAAAGATTTTCAAATAATTAGCATTAAATTATGGATATGGTTTCCTAAAACTTTTATATTTTACAGTTAAAATAGTTACACATACTTTTAAAAAAGGATTTTTTTCTTGCCATTATTGAAAAATTAGTTTATTTAACTTTTTAAATATTTATTAAAAGAAGCACTATTAAAAGCACAGTGTTAGAAAATTTTTTGGCTTAGAGTAACATATACACATTGGATTAGAAATCAATGCCAAGTACAAAATATTTGTGACATTTTAATCTGAAAATTTTAGTTTAATCATATTTGTTTCCTGCTCTTTAACAACTTCTCTACGTTCACTAGCTTTAATACACAAATCAATGTTCCTGTTCTATTACACAATCAATATTCCCTTGAAAAGAATTTTCTTCTACTTTATGTAATATTTTTTCGTAACTATTTCTTCTTTTCAAATTTTAACAATTAATAAAAAAAATTTGTTAAAGCTACACAAATTCAGACTCTTAAAAATAAACGTGACAGATGGAAAACTGTCATCTTTATTTTCCACCTATCATTTAATCTGTTTGTGGCAGCTTCATGATTTATTATTACATTTGTAACATGTGTACACTTGGGAGATTTAAGCTACTATCTAATTTTATTCTTTCTATTGTCTTTTTTTTTTTTTCCAACACAAATTCTTGTGTTGCAAAAAAAAAAAAAAAAAAAAAAAAGGGGGGGGGGAGACTATAGAAAGAACAAATCAGTTTGTTAAGATCAGTTTGTTTAAAAATATTTCAATTTGGTAATTTATGAATTTCTTTAAAAATGTAATAACATTAATAAGATATTGTTAAAATGACAAAATATATTAAAATTATGGTTTTTTAAGGGGGAAATATAATAACAACTTTATTCTTCATCTATCATGTTTATTTCCATCAGTCTGATATAACATAAGAGCTATAACAACATCATAGCTGGAAATAGACATGAAATGGACACTGCTCTGATACTGGCAGATTTTTTTAGAACATCCTCTGTTCTAATACTCTAGTCTTATCTTCTGCCCATACTCTTGAGTATTTTCAGATTTACAAATATTCTTATAAAGTATGATTTTCTTCTTTTGTTTTTGTTGCATGGTCATAAGGTCAAGGTTTAAATTTAAGAAACATATTTTTAATAAGGTATTCTTGTCAATATCATCTGTTTTGAAAGATTGGGTGAACAACTAATCGTACACTTTGGAACTTTCATTCAGTATGGTACACTGTTTCTCTGTTTGTAGTATAAATTTACAATGTTTCTGTCATGGTTTGGATTTTATATTCCTCCAAAATGTTAATTTATACCAAGATTGACATTCATAGAAAAGCATGGAGATGCTAAGTGACTAGAGTTATGGACCATTTGCAAATTTTGGCTGAAATTCAAGATTTTTATAAACTAAAATCATTGAAAAAAAAATTAAGTTCTTTAGACCATAATATTCTGGATATTAAAATTTTAAGAACTGTTTCAAAAAAATTTCTGATTAATTTATATTAGATATTAATACATCTTTGCACACTTTAAAGAATTTTCAGTTTTATTCCAAAGACACGAAATAATATCTTCAAATTTATGATATCATTGCAATACAGAATAATTGCACCCTAGAATAATAAAATGAATTAACACTTCCATTACCACCCCCCAAAAAGGAAAAAGTGCCCACTTCCTATAGCAGTTCATGTTACAGTTAATTTAACAAAGCTGCGAATATAAAACAGCAAAACATTTAAAAACCTTAATATAAATATATATGAAAGAAAAATCAACTAGGAAGAATATTTCATACTAAAAATATCACAGAAGGAGCACCCAACAGAGCTATTGCAGTAGAAAGTTTTCTCTTATTTCCACCACTGTAAGTTCCAGCAACCCGATCTGCATAATCTACTAAATCTAATTTCTTCAAAGCCCACTCAATTACCTGAAACAAAATTTTATTATACAACTAATAGCATTTATAAGAGAAAAAAAATACGGGATATATGTACAAATTAGAAGTTCAAATCTAGTATTTCCTTTTGTACTTTATTATATAGGTTTCATCATTCACGTTCATTTCTAAAACATAAGAAGAATTCTCAGAAACTATAATACTTCCCAGAATATTCACTTTTAATTTTTAACTCTGGTTCAAATTATATCATGTAATACCAGGTAAAAAAGTATATACATTTCCAGTTCTATTCCATTACTCAAACACATTTCTTAAAATCTTCATTAAAAGTTGCAAAAAATATACATATAACTAACTATTTTAGCAAAACATACAACTAACATAATTAGCTCAACAATATCCAGTGTTTATTGGCAAACATTTTAATGGGATATATGTGAGCTAATTATGAAAGTTAGTAACATTTATGTTTCATATGATGCTCATAGATGTCTGGTTGGTCAATTACATCCAAGTATTCAAAGGCTTATCACTGAGGAGGAATGCTTTCAGACAAGATTTTCTATGAGAAGCTGGTTTATTTTTATATCACAAATGGCAAAAACAGCCTTGAAAACACATACACAGTAATGCAGGCAAGCCATACATCTATTAAGAAGTGATCATTTGATACAATTACTGATGTACTTTTTTGCTCACCAGCTAGCTTATCAACAGAGACAATCAGATAAATTTAAATATTTTACTGCAAAGACTCTTTTTATGATGCTATCAAAATGTAATTAAAACAAATTATAAAAATGAGCAGTTAAGCATAAAATTAATGTGTATTACCTTCAACTCTATAATGAGATTAATACATTAGATACTGACCCTTCTAAACTTTAAAATTTATCTTTTGCTCATTTTGTAAATGTTAGAAAAAGACAAACTAAAAAGAATAAATCAGAAAACATATGTTCTATAATAGAGGCAAAAGAGGTTTTGATGGTATGTTTTAAACTTTGGTATTTGATTTAATTTTACATCTGCTGTATGACAAAAAGATTCAACTGCAAAATAAATTAATTCTGAAAAATATATTTATTATTTTTCTGTATTTAAAACACACATGGAAAGATCTTGTAATATACTTTTTAATTAATATAAAATTTGTTACAATAAATATTGCAGTCCAATTGTAAAGCTTATAGTAATTAGTACAATTAATATATGAACAAAAGTACATTAATAAATAGAATGATCAATGCCAACGTGATAGAGACAGAAAGTGCACTCATACTGTTTTTATTGAAAATAAAATATTTGTTAAATTTATAATGAGAATAAAATGATGTACATAAAAATATTACTGAGATATGCCTTCTTAGATGATTTTGCTTAAATATTGATCTCAAATAACTCATAATAATGTAATATTGCAATTATTTATTATGTGAATCTTCAAAATAGCAAATATTGCAACTGTAAACAAAATGAAGAACCCATTTAAAGCACTTTTAATTTTTTTACACATAAATTTAGAATGACGAAATTTGAAAAAACACACAGCATAAAACTTCAAGGTTCAGCTGCATTATTTTTATGTACATTTTCAAACTATTTTTGAAGCCCAATGTTAAATTTATGTTCTTTAAATGATACGGCAAGAAATTTCAATAATTCATTAAAGAAAAATTATTTATACAGTCAAAAGTCGTTAATCCGGACTCGTCGGGACTTCGGCGATTCCGGATTATCGATTTTTCCGGATTATAGATCATCAGTTTAAATCTGGTAAGATGGCATGCAGAAATTACAAAATTAAAAATATGAAACCGTAATTTATGAAATAAAGAACAATTATGATCTAAAGGGTATCAAAATTTACAAAAAGAAAAAGCTTAATATTTATTTGTTTACTTTATTAAACATTTCCTTCAATGCAAGTTGCTTCGTTTCATGTGATAATACTTTCTCTTTAATTCTATTAAACAGACATAATTTCTTGTTTAGTTACAAAGTTCCGCTGTTCAAGTCCTATAATTGCTGTGTTGAGAATACCGACTAATTTGTCAATCGAAATGTTTTCGTTTTCAATAACCTCTGGGTCACTTTCTTCACTATCGGAAGCGAATTATAATGACGAGGAACTTGATTTAAATCATATCAAAGACGGAGTATATCGAAATGAAATACTACACTTAGTACGGAATTATAAACCAAATAAAATAAAAACATCTGCTCTGAAGATAAGGATAGTGCTGACAGATCAACTTCCAATCCGCAGCGTGAAATTGATAAACAGATTTCGGATTTCAAAACATACTTTCGCTTTGTAGATACAAATTACATATTAGTAAATATATATCGGAAATTCTATTTGACATAATCTTTCTAATCTATCATAATCTAATAATGACGTTTCTGCCCCCCCCCCCCCTCTGCCGCAGAGCAGCGTGAAATGGATAAACAGATTTCGGATTTCAAAACATACTTTCGCTTTGTACGAGGGCTATCCAGAAAGTAGATTTCGTTTTGGAATAAAAAAATAAACAAAGTATAGGAAACAAATATATACAGATGAATATATACTTTGTCACCATATTAAGAAATTCTTCGTAAATTTTCAACCACTCGACCTCTTCTTGCCTTCCATCTTGCAAAAACTTGTGGTAACCAAGCTTTTCGCTGATGATTTCGTGCACACAAACTTCGCGAAATTTGTGGAAAACAAAAGAAAGTTCCGTTATTGTGAAATTTCGATTTTCACGGACTTTAGCATCGACTTTTTCGAGAAGTTTCGGCGGTCACTAACTTCGATCTTCGTCTGAACATTGTTCGGCCATTTTGAAATCTAACCCACTACGCACTCCCCTTCAGTGATAATGTTGTCCCATAACACTTCACGAAGATCCGATAGATTTCTATCGGTTTACAGTTTTTTGCAGTCAGAAACCTTATTACTGAGCGCACTCGCAGGATTTTCAATTAACGCAACATTTCAAACCGTTATCTGAACGGAGCACAGCACGAACCTCTCACTAGCACGCTAATAGACTTGCGCAACGCTACCCCAAGATGGCGCGCTAGCCTAGCGGACAGACGGAAACGTATATGGCCCTCGTAGTACGCTATTTGACATAATCGCAAGCTTACTTTAAAAATTGCTCTAACAGTCTGCAAAAATAATAAGCGATCAATTCGAAGATTAAGGAACAACGCAATCTGCACATAACGTAACAGCTGCGTATAAACGCGCATGCGCACAAACCTATTCGCAGCTGTAAGGGTCTTATGCGATCTCGTAAACGCCTGTGCGCATGCGTGAACGCGACGCATGCGCAGAAAGTTTGTGGCTTTGAGGTCCGGATTATAGATCATTCCGGATTATGGGTGTCCGAATTAACGACTTTTGACTGTATCATGTAGTGGAAAAAGATATAAAAATTTATGTTTATAATTTTTTAAAAAGTATTGTAAGCATGAAATTAGTTAAATATTTATTCAATAACTTCAAGAAGCAAATCTAATGAAGAATGGTGGTGTAAAAATAGCAACCTTATCTTCCTCTTTAAGTGGAATACCACGGAATCTGGAATACAGGATCAAGTGCTCTTTAGCAGTAAGTTCTTCATACAAAGCATCAAATTGTGGACAGTATCCGATATACTGCTGCACTTTTTGCAAGTCCCTTCTTATGCTAGAAGGCAAAAAAGAGCTTTTTAAAGATAAGATATTGGAAATTCTGCAAAATCAGTTTTCTCAAAGATTTTGTAAACATTTGAAAAAATGCAAAAACTCTACACATTAATAATATTATTTTGGGACAGGAGATAAAAGGACAGTCTTGAATTTTCTGTTTGCATGAATCTCATTTTTATTTACTGTGTTAAAACCTTTTTTGAACAATACTCACATGTACACATATGGGGAGAAATCTAAAATTTATTTAATCTTTATTTGAAAAGATAGTCCTTTAAATATAGTTCAGTTAATTCAAATGAACATAACATGATTGAACAAATATAATACTTTGCTTATTTATCAAAATTATTAAATTCATTTTGTTCTAGTTCTGATTAATTTTGATTAACAGACTCTTTTCCTACCTTCCTGAATAGTAAAAATTCTTACAGGTTTCCTTAAATCAAGTAATTAATTTATTTAAAGACAGTTTCTGTGTTAAAATACACTTCAATAATATGACACATAATATTTTACAAAATTAAACATACATAAAATACGTATTAATTTTAGGAAATATATCTGGAAAATGTAAATTTAAGGATTAAGATTAGGAAACCGATCAACTTTAAACCTAAATTATTTGTAAATAATAATAATAATAATAATAATAATAATAATAATAATAATAAAGGTACATTAATCGACTGAAAAAACTCACAAAAAAAAAAAAAAAAAAAAATAATAAAAATACAGAAATTTCTGTTTTATTAAAGAAGTATTATTTTAAAATGTTACAAAATATACATACACAGTAAAAACCTGACTATCCAGCATTCAAATATGCAGAAAGTCATGTTTTTGAAAATTTTCCTGTTCTCCTCAAAAAATAAATAAATAAATGAGAGATTTGTAATGCCATTATAGAGCTTGTATTGTTACTAACATGTATATATTGTCACCAAGTAGTGTGATTTAGTGTTAATAATAGATAATTATGACGTCACAACACAATTATAAGAAATTTGTTTTGGTTTAATAGAAGCTCGATTAATTCAAGATAGCAGGTTTAATTCTTGAAAGCAAGTATCTAAGTTCAGGTAACAGGTGAGAGTGGGTCTAGATACCTGAGTGGCTTATAGACTAATGGGTATTGTCTGGATTCCATGACTGTTCAGTACAGCATACGTACAATGAAAGAAACCTGCCAATGATACAACACAGTGAACTAAATAACAACCTGCCAATGATTTAAAATTACGGAGTACCTATGGTTTATGATCTTACTTTGTGCTCAATGGCTAATATATGCAAGATAACATGCAGTGATGCTCGATGTTCATGATGTTTTCGGACACCTGTGCTCTTACTCAGAAAGCACAATCGTGCCATAATTTCTCATAGATGAAATCACATTGGTTTCCATTTATATTGTTATGAATTTGGTATTTAAAAAGCTAATGTTAGTTCAATTATAAATTAATTGGTTTTATTTCCCGCGTAGTGCAGCGCGTGATGAATATTAAAAGAAGAAAGCTAAGCCGGAAAATTAAAAATACAAGAGCATGTGCATTAAATAAATAAATATCTCATTTTGATTTCGAGAAAGTACTGGAAAATTCTAGCGCGTGATTTTAAAATCTAATAAAAGGAGGAAAACATCTCAGTTCGGAGTAGTTGCTTAGTTTGTTGTTGTTTAGAAAACTGCTCTTGTTGATTGTAGCGAATTCGCGGATTAGCGTTCTTTAGCTGTTTTCAATTACGTTCTAGCATTTGTATTAAAATACTAGTAATAGATCTGAGAAAAAGAATTAAGCATTTTTGGTATATAATTTTTTATTTTCATCGGCTTGTGACCATACAATTTTTGGTGGACCTGAAGAAAACCTTCCCTGCTCTCTCGTCTTCTGACGTGGTCGAACTAGTTTGACACAACATAGAATAGATACCGGCGATCATCCCCCGATCAAGCAACATCCAAGACGTCTACCGTTTGCTAAACAGGAAGAGGTGCGAACACTGTTAAAAGATATGGAAGAAGGCGATGTCATCGAGCCTTCAGCGAAGTCCATGGGCATCTCCCATCGTTCTCGTCAGAAAGAAAGACGGCTCAACAAGATTTTGCGTTGACTATCGCCGGTTGAATGAGGTTACGAAGAAAGACAGTTACCCTCTTCCTAGAATTGACGACATTCTAGACACTCTTTCTGGAAGCAAGTGGTTCTCAACACTTGATTTAAAGAGTGGGTATTGGCAGGTAGAAATACATCCTGATGACCGAGAAAAGACGGCATTTACTACGGGACAAGGGCTTTGGCAATTCAAGGTGATGCCGTTTGGACTGTGTAATGCGCCGGCAACATTCGAACGTCTTATGGAGACTGTTTTGAAAGGCCTTTCCTACGAAGCCTGCCTGATATACCTGGACGACATCATCATCGTCGGAAAGAGTTTTGAAGAACATTTAGAAAATCTTAGGAAGGTGCTTCAGAAACTGAAAGAAGCCAATCTGAAGCTGAGTCCCGCTAAATGCAAATTGTTCCGAAAGGAAGTGACTTACCTGGGACATGTCATCTCTGCAGAAGGTGTGCGCACGGATCCTGAAAAGGTATCAGCGGTTAAATCCTGGAAACGTCCCGAAAATGTCCATCAGCTGAGAAGCTTCCTAGGGCTTTGCACCTACTATAGGAGATTCGTGAAGGACTTTTCTTCCATCGCAAGACCCCTTCACAAGCTGACAGAGAGCAAGCAAAGATTCTTGTGGACAAAAGAATGCGAGGATGCATTTAACAACTTAAAGGAAGCTTTAACATCTGCTCCAATCCTGACGTATCCTCAGCTCGACAGACCATTTATTCTCGACACCGACGCGAGCAATGAAAGTGTCGGTGCTGTTTTGTCCCAAGAAATAGACGGCCAAGAACGTGTAGTAGCGTACTGGAGCAAGTGCCTGTCTAAACCGGAGAGGAATTACTGTGTCACCAGGAAAGAGTTGCTCGCCATAGTCAAAGCTGTAGAACATTTCCATCATTATCTATACGGCAGAAAATTCCTCCTCCGCACGGACCATGCCTCATTGGCCTGGCTTTTAAATTTCAAGAATCCTGAGGGTCAAATAGCCAGGTGGATACAGAGACTCCAAGAATATGACATCACTATCCGTCATCGTAAGGGATCATCACACGGAAACGCCGACGCCCTGTCTAGAAGACCTTGCCAAGAAAGCTGCCGATATTGTTCCAGGGTGGAAGCGAAATACGAGCTGCTGACTCCGGTCGCAAGACAAATTACAACATCAACATCGGCTGATCGAGACCCGTGGAGTGATGATGAAGTCAGGAAAGACCAGCTGGAAGACCGCGACATTAAACCCATACTTGATTTAATAGAGTCATCAAACAGAAAACCTACATGGCAGGACATTTCTATCTGTAGTCCTACAACAAAACAATACTGGGCACTCTGGGATTCACTTCACATTCGAAACGGCGTCTTATACCGGAAATTCGAGTCGGATGATGGGAAGACGTTCCGATGGCAACTGATACTTCCAAGATCCCGGATTCCTGATGTCCTTAAAGAACTACATAACAGCCCTACAGGAGGTCACTTTGGAATTATGAAGACCTTACAGAGAGTTCGTGAGCGCTTTTACTGGAATAATGCAAAGGATGACGTGCAAAAGTGGTGCCGATCTTGCGATGCCTGTGCAGGTCGGAAAGGACCGAGGAGAACGCAGCCGAGGCAAGCTGCAACGTTACAACGTAGGGGCGCGCCTTTTGAACGTATCGCCTTTGACATCCTGGGACCTCTGCCACGAACTGCTGATGGCAACAAATACATACTCGTTGTCATTGATTACTTCACCAAGTGGCCTGAAGCGTTATCCTATTCCTGATCAAGAGGCTGTCACAGTAGCTGAGGTAATGATACAGCACTGGATTTCCAGGTTCGGAGTGCCTCTTCAGTTACATTCCGATCAGGGAAGGAATTTTGCCTCGGCAGTAATCAAAGAACTATGCAAACTACTCGGCATTGACAAAACTCAAACGACGCCATTGCATCCCCAGTCGGACGGCATGGTAGAGAGGTTCAATCGAACCATCCTTAATAACCTCTCATTAGTGGTTTCCAGAAACCAACAGGACTGGGACAAGAAATTACCACTCTTTTTACTGGCTTACCGCAGTGCTGTCCACGAGACTACCGGCTATTCTCCATCACAGATGCTCTTCGGTCGTGACCTTCGTCTGCCTTGTGATCTATTGTTTGGCCGCCCTCCGGATGCTCCTTCATCGTCTGAGGAATATATTCAGGATCTCCAGGCCCGGTTTGAAGTGATGCACAACCTTTGCACGAGAGCGAGTCAACATGGCGACGGAGAAGATGAAGACCCGATACGACACAAGAGCTACTGAACATCAATTCCACGAAGGGGACAAGGTGGGGTTGTGGAATCCGACTCGACGGAAAGGACTTTGTTCGAAATTACAGTCACCTTGGGATGGCCTGTACACAGTCCTAAACAGGCTGAATGACGTCGTGGTTTGGATCCGTAAGTCTTCGAACTCTAAACCTAAAGTCGTTTATTACGACAGGTTAGCTCATTACTATGGCCATAGTACGTAATGTAAATAATTGTAAATAGTGTACGACCATGGTCCTTTTTGATTCTAAATGTGCATTTAGTATTTGATTTATATTTGATTTGTATTTGATAGCATTTGATTTGTTTTATTATTGCATTTATTGTTCATGTTGTTATTATTGTAATGTAATGCTTATTAATGCATTTATGCCACAGTTGTAAGTTTAGCTTCCTGTCCAGGGATTGTACTGCCCGGGACGTGCAGTCCTTGGGAAGGGGGCAGTGTTACGAATTTGGTATTTAAAAAGCTAATGTTAGTTCAATTATAAATTAAATGGTTTTATTTCTCGCGCGCAGTGCAGCGCGTGACGAATATTAAAAGAAAGCTAAGCCGGAAAATTGAAAATACAAGAGCGCGTGCATTAAATAAATAAATATCTCTTTTTGATTTCGAGAAAGTACTGGAAAATTCTAGCGCGTGATTTTAAAATCTTATAAAAGGAGGAAAACATCTCAGTTTGTAGTAGTTGCTTAGTTTGTTGTTGTTTAGAAAACTGCTCTTGTTGATTGTAGCGAATTCGCGGATTAGCGTTCTTTAGCTGTTTTGAATTACGTTCTATTGGACATTTGAGTAGTTAAAAAATACTAACTACTGTAAGATATTGTAATACTGCATGATAATTTGAGAAAATTTAAGCATTTTTGTGTGTGATAATAATAAATTTTTGTTCATTTTTCATCGGACTTGTGCATTCATTTCATAACGAACCCGTACAACAAACATTTGCAAATAAGTTAAAATTGAAATTAAGAAAATGTTGGCAACAAAAAATCCCTATGAGTACATTTGTATCAATGACTCACGGCGACTAAATCTACGTTTTTTTTTAGTAAACATGCTGTGACCTTAACTATCTGGCACACTACTTGTACCTGTTTCAAAGTGTTTACACTTTTGATAGTTTCACTATAAGCAGCAGGCAACAGTCCAGTTAGGCCAAAGGGTAGAAAACAAGTGCAGTTGTGTTCAGAATGAAATCTTAATTCAGAATGAGTTAGTTTTGGTTCTGAATGGATGGACTAGATAATTAATAGAGCTGTAAAATTATTATTGGCTGTTTCAGTTTAGTTCCATCAACATCATCAGTGTTATGTAAGAGTCATATAACATGGATTAGTCTCAAAATGAAGCAGTGCAAAAGGAAATTATTATTTTTAGAATAGAGAGGGGAAATTAATTTAATTTAATCATTAAGAGGCTATTACTAGTTTAAATAATAATTTATCTTTCATATATTTTTATCTTACATATTTATATGCAAGATACACACAATAGATGCAAAAGTAATAAATTTAGAACCTAATTCCCTAATTCATAAATATATGAAAAAATAAAATTTAAACCAGTAAAATCCAAAAATTTCCCAGTAATAAAAAAAAAATCAAGTAATTGTTTACAAACCAGAAGAATTTCTGAAAACAATATAAACAGACAGAGATAAGGAGATAAGGATATGAAATAATCTTTTTCTAATTTTTTGTTCTACTCAGAAATAAAAACTAAAACTAAAAGAAATAAAAATAAAAACTATAAACTAAAAGTTTCATAATTCTATAATTCACAATCCATAAGATTCTTATTAGAAAGTAAAATACATAAAAAAATACTAGAAATAAAATAACCACAATTACCTGAAGCCATTCAAAAATGCATCACCGGCAGTGACATTTGTGTCACCAGTCAGCATTTTAAATGTTGTTGATTTTCCAGCACCATTTACACCAAGCAGTCCTAAACACTAAACATAAAAGTAAACAAATAAATAACTGAAATAAAAGAATATAAATAATTTATTTTAAAATGTTAAGTTTCTTACCTCTCCTTCAGGAACTCCTAAGCATAATTTATTCACTGCTATGAGTTTCTTTCTCATGTTTTTTGAATTATAAATCTGTAACACATGAAGAAATGCTATATAGTTTATTTAAAGTCAAAACATACAGCACATTTATGCCAATATCTTTTCCCTTTATAATCTCATAATTGTTTCTTACTATAGTAATGAAAATTTATGCACATTTAATTATGTAAAATGATATAATTTTTAGAATTTAAAAGCTACTTAATGCTAAATACACCTACTTCTTCAATACAACACATGTCCACTTATATATATGTGATGAAAAAGACATAGCAATGCTGATGGTGTACAACATAGATTCATACTGAACAAGAAACTTGGTAGTCGAGTAAGATTACATACTCAACTTTATTTCAATTGACATTTGCAGCCATAACTTACTTGGCACTCTAATTGTGCCTATTCAAGAACATTTACACTTTTGCTACTGTTGCAATAGAAAGAGAGCAGAGAAAAATAGCTCTTAATGTGAAAGAGAGGAAATGCTTAAGTGCCCAATTATCCAATATCGAAGCTCACCAATAGAAGGTTTTAGTTTAGCTTGCTTATTAAGAGAAAATTTTTAGTTCTCGAAATTTTGAGCTCAGGTTCCAAATTAGCTATGTCATCAGCATTACATGCGACATACATTTATGTTACACTTCTGGAAATTCTTTGCTTGAATATCATAACATTTTATAGTTCTCGCCTTGAAAGGCTTTCATAAAAATTGTTGTTCTCAATACAAAACCAAAATTTTCTATTACATATTAATGAAATTTGAATGAAATTTAATTATTTATAAAACAATAAACATTTTCTTAGTTACAAAGCAATGTAAAATGAAATTTAGAACTTAATATTAAAGCAAGTAAAAAAATTCAACACAATAACAAAACAAACTTTGATAAAACTAGGCAGGTCCTCTAAAGTGCGCTACAACTTGCTGATGATTGTGGGATGCTAAGATACTATAGAACCTAAAAACTTCCATTCCTTAAAAAAGGTGACTAGCTTTGAGCATTGTATGACAAATCTAGGCAAGTTAAAGACAAATCTAGGCAAGTTAATCTAAGTTAAAAGTTTCAATTTAATCTTATAGCCATAAGCATTCTTTACCTAAATATGCAAAATTAAAATTCGAGGTGGGCAAATAACTTGTACACTCAAGTTATGTCAGAAATTTAAATTAGTATAACAACGTTACCCTACAACATTAAAATTTATAATAAAAAATTAAATGAGTATTGTGTGTGTGTTACTGCGGTAACACTGTGCAGAAACAATGGCCAGAAGAATGTGACTGGTGAAAACAAAATATGCCTACTCAGTTTTTCTAACCATAGTAACTCTCCTAAATAAAAAGAGAAATTTAATTTGGGGATTAGGAGTATTATTATGTGTACAGTGAGCATGTGGTATCACTGCTTGTAAGGCACCATAATTATTTCTTATTTTAATTATTTCCTTTGTATATGATGATGATATTTTTCCTTTAATCTTTTGACGTAAAATATTATCAGAAAATTTTAAATTAAAACACGTTTTGAATAGTATTATAAAATATTAGTAAACGCAATTTTTACGAATGATACGCTTCAACTTTATCTGTAGTGAGATAAACTTTCTAGGGCTAATAGAATTAGCATGTTTTAAATGATATTTCATCTACAAATAAAGAAAATAACATATTTTTAAATATTATATATATCAGCTAATTATTTCAAAAAGTGCATGTATTTAGTACAAAAGAAAAGTTACATGGGAAAAAAAATTCCTTTTCATCATCTTCATTATCAAATAACAAGCAGTAATATAACTAGATCCACTAAACTTACCAATGTTAATTGAGTGAAAACTCAAAAATACAATTAAAATTATTTGTCTTTTTTTAAACAAATTAACCTCTAATCTGTCTATAATATGGTACACTTTATTTGAATATCTTCACAATTTCACATTACAAAATACCATAAAAATTCATATTTATTAGGGTCCTTCTAAAAGCCAAGAACTTTTATAGTTTTATTTGCTACAATCGTATGAGGATGATTATTAGTTAAGAATTTTTATATTTTTGTTTCTTAACACAATCTTTTCATTTGTAGACCATTTATGAAGTTCAAATCCACCAGAAAATTCAATTATCTTTTTTATATATTCAATTAAAAGAATTTTGCAAACAGTGAACTTCTTCACAGTAGGTACATTTATCACTTGCAATAAATGTATTTACTTTGCTATTATTCTTATAACCGCTCTCCACTGACACTTAACACGCTCTCCACTTTTGTAATGTCCTTACATAATGTTTTAAAAATTCAACCAATTCACTTAAGTTTGGGACTCCCTCTTTCTTTAAGTGTCTTTTTTCTTTTTCTTTTTTTTATTATATATATATATATATATACCAGAATTTAGTTGATAAATCTAGTTTTTCACACACACACACGCTCACGCACATACGAACGCACGCACACAAACAAACAAACAAAAAAAAAAAAAAAAAAAAAAAAAGATATATCATCACAGTTTCTATTTTCTGTTGCAACCCCTCCAAACCCTGATAAGCTTCATTCACTGTGTCCACTAAGCTCAGAATTGCTGAAGCTGGTCATTTTGAATTAAAGTTAATAACATCAGTTTTCTTGAATATTTTAAATACTGTAACTTTTTTGCATTTGATATATTGGGATTATTATGTGCATATGCATTAAAGAGAGCATTAAAAGCTATCCATTCCTGCAAATTTCTGCTAAATGTTGGCTAGTTTAACCTTGGAAGTTTAACACTTTCTGAAAACCTTACTTCAGCTTTTATCTCTGACTTTAAACCCAACTTAAGTGCCTCAGTTTTCAAGTCCTTATTTTCTATGCAAAATTTATCTCTATACTTCATTATCTGTAATTTTAATAATATCTTTCTTTTGAGAAAAATCTTCCCAATTTATGTTTAAGATAGATGTAAACATAACTTAGATTCATTAGCTGGGCACCATTTTACAAGGAATAACTCACACAAAGCCTCTAGCTTACTAGAGCAGCTTCTTATTGTTTCATTATATGTGTGCTGGTTCGAAAATAATTTGGACATCACACGAAGATGAACTATAATCCTTTTATTGTGGCTAGTACACTCCAGGTTACATGGACTCTCAAACTTCACAATTTCTATTTTAATAATCTCTTTAAGTAAAATCTTCCTAATTTATGTTTAAGATAGATGCAAACATAACTTAGATTCATTAGCTGGACACCAATTCACAAAGAATACTAACACACACAAAGCCTCTGGCTAGATGGACTGAATTCATGTTGTTTCATTATAAGTGTGCTGGTTCGAAAATTAATTTGGACGTCACATGGCGCTGAACTACAATCCTTTTATTGTGGCTAGTATACTCCAGGTTACGTGGACTCGTACTCCACAATGTCATCAGTGCAACTTAACACTATGAGAGTTGCAGACTCCAATACTCCAACCTGGCATGACTTTTGACTACCCCTGTCTCCTTCACTGCACACTCTGTTCTTAGCCTTCTCACTGCTTCTTTGCAACCACATATGAATAAAAATCTCATGGCTGCTGCTTGTGAAGCAAACAGTAAGCATTAAACATATTCTTGGAACTATGACAAAATTTAACCAGAATAAGCTCATGATGAAGATGAGCTCCTCATTTATGAAGCAAGTAAATGTATAAGCCTGAATCCTGATTTCATGTCTGGTTCACTCTTGTGTTAAGTCACTTAAAAAAAAAAAAAAAAAAAAAGATGGTGCCACGAAATGTTATCGCTATGTATTACTTTTAAAGAAAATATAAACAGTACAGAGAACAAGTATTTTTAGGTATCATCTAGAAATTTCAGAATCACCTGTTTACTCAAAATAAGAAGAAAAATAGAATATCAAAAACAACTTATTACTCATACATTAACAATGATTAGATGATTACTACGTGGCAAATTATAATACTATACTTAAATAAGCACTTCAATAATTAAAGCAAATCTATAAAACATTGCAAAAAGGTACACATGGTAAAGAAATCTACTTAAAAAAATATTATTATTACCTTTGTGAGATCAATGAGATGCAAAACATCAGTATTAGCATGGCCAGTTAGAACTCGCTTTCGTTCAGCTGCAACATCTTCATCTTCCATTTCAATTGAATAATCAGGTATCTGAATATTTCTATTAAAAATTCAATTATCATATAAATAATCAAGAATTTTACCATGTCAAAACATTAAACTAGAAGTAAGATTTTTAATAGTACCAAATATAAAGAATTAGACTATAAATTTCAGAGTTCAGAAAGAAATATGTTCATCAGCTTTTTTTTTTATATGTAAACATTTCCTGCTTAAAAAAAATCTATAATGAAACTGCTTCAACACTATTGTAAAGATAAAAAATATAAAAAAAAACTTTCGATTTATATCAACAGAGAAATTTAATTCTAACTTTACAGCAAATTTGTTGTATGCTAGTATGGCAATCTTCATCAAAATTAAGCTGAATAAAATATAGAAGTAACTCATGGCTCTTATTCTATTTTGCCGATTTGTTTACACATACAGTAACATTAACATACACTGGCATCTCAAAGTTAAGCCTGTGGCAGCAAAATCAACGAAAATGGAAAAGTAAAACTTTGATTAACACCAAATTGCACATGAAGGTAACAAATGAGTTTATGCACGAGAGAAACCATGCATTATGCACAAAGATGAAAACACTGAATACATTACTAAATTCTTCATTTGTTAATCATTACACAGTTTTCAATGCCCATAAGTAAACATTCACTTAAATTGTTAATAGTTCTTAAGTTCTTAAATGAAAATGGTCTAATTTCCTTTGGTCAGATTAACAAAATCTAAACTTCATATTACCACAGAGAACAATATGATGAAAGTAAAAATAATTCAAATGACATCAGTACTTTTAACTAATGTACAATAAATATCATAATGCACAAACAAGAAAAATTAAAGGAAAAATTAGGCATTTAGAGGGAACAAAATGAAGTAAAGGATTGAAAAACATGAAAAAAAACTCACTTTGGTTTTCGAAGAAAGTTGAATTCACATAATAACGTAATAAAGAAAAATGCTAAGCCTGAGAAAGCCATAGCAACTAAATTACGAGTGACTAAGTCCCATGCAAAAGGAGACTTCATCTTATCATATTGACCTATTACAGATATAAAATTAATATAATAAGATCTGTCTAATTATATAAATCATAAAACAAAAGAAGACATGCTTCTAGTTTACATTTAAAATCAGTTATCAAAATCACGAAAAACGATAAATATGCTACACATCAGAGGATTTTATAAATTGTTAAATTATTATATTTATTAACCCAATTTCATTAATACAAAACCAAAAACAAATGTATAACATAGAGCACATATATTACTCAAAATTTGGAGGGGGGAGAACTTGATTAAAAAATAGAAAATTATAAAACAGCTATTTATAGGCACGAACAAATTAATTATACCATCCTTTCAAATATCAAAGAACAGACCACTTCCAGGTTGGGCTACACATGGGAGTAATTTAAATTTAATTATATTTCCTCCAAAGTTTTGCATCTACTGATACTGAAAGACAAAGATGGACAGAACATGATATGGCAATTTAGAACATTTTATCGTTATTTGTATGAGAAGTTGAAACAATAAGTCTGCTGATCAGCAAATTCATTTTTTACATATATTTAAAAGAAAATACTCTTGCTATAAAATTATGGTGATAAATAAGATATAATAGTTTTGCTTTCAGTATGTACCAGAGGCTGCTCACACATTTTTTAGACAATTTTCATTGTAATTACAGAAATATTTTATAAAAAAATTTTAAATGTTATATTTGATAATTCCCCATTCTTCACTATCATTATACATCATAATTTCCATAACAATAAAGCCTTTTGTAGTATTGGAAGAGATATTCCATCCCATTGCTCTCGAACAGCTTTCCAAAGTCTAAGGAGGTTGTAAGCCGACATTTGGAGAACCCGCTTTTTAAAAGTCCGAAAGTGAAAAAATACATTGGTGATAGATCAAACGATTTAATAGGGATATGAGTGAAGGGTATGGGCCTTGATATCTGTTTCTTGTTCCATTTTTTTACAGGAAATTAACAGTACATTTTGACGTGTTGCTGCTCGCTTTGTCTCGATGCAGTTCCACTGACTGACCACACTGTGTGTAAAGAGAAGGTATTTCATGTTTGAAAATTGCATATAAAATATATTTTTGATAATATGTTGAGTTGATCTGAATACTTTTCATCACTCTCTTTATCTTTAATTTGCTGTAATATGAAAAATCAGCAACAATCATAAATCCCATAGAAAAAAGTTTCTTTAGATCCCTCGAACCATTTAAGATTTTTTTCTCCTCTTTGATGAAAATAAATGGATCTTCTTTTGTTGCAGTCATTTAAGTGCACCCAAGATTCATCTATTATGACAGCATTTTTCCATTTTCATCTGGATAAATGTTTCTCATAAAGAATCCTACAGCACGTTCTATGTTCGGCAATATATCATGGAGAAAGGTGCTGAAAACTGTTTTCGCCTTTTTAAGATTTAAATTAGCATTAATTACTTTGTTTAGACTTGTAACTTGGCAATTTAGTGATTCTACAACTGTCCTTTGACTTAGAAGATTTTCTTTTAACATAAAAGATCTCCCTTTTGCAATATTCAAAACATTTCATTTTTCCTCGGATATGTATTTGGAAAATTTTTTCCCCTTGAAACTAAATTTTGACTTTCCCTTTGATGTTGACAGCATTAACTATCATAGCTTTATGGCTTTCACTGCATTTTTTAAATAACTAGATATGAATAATTTTCTTCGGAAAAGACACAAACATAGCCTTCCATCCCCTGCTTCTTTAAAAGTAGCATTTTGCATGAAACAAACTGTTAAGCAGCAGACAATAATTTATACTTTTAAAAATATAGTTGCAGTTCTCAAAAGATTTCCTTTTTTTACAATAAAACAAAATTGTCTAAAAATGTACGAACATTCTCTGTACAGGGTAATTCACGAGTCCAAAAACATACACAGTTGAGTAATTTTAAAAGGGACTCCGTTAGACAGCCCCAACGTTCTAGCTAGAACAGGGCCTTGAAATTACTTAAACCAACCCTGATAATGATGTAGATGTGGCAACTGAAAATTTTTTGTGGCTTTTCCATGAAACATTAAAATGAATGGCAAAATGATATAGTAAAATTTTAAGTATTTGTTTGAAAGTATCTTAAGTAGTGGACTGATTAGATTTAACTAAGTAACATTCAGGGCTGCGCCAAGCCTAATCGGCGCCATCGTGCAAATGCCTAGCGAGTGCCTTTATGCAGTGACGATATTAAAGGGAAATTGTTTATGATTAAAAAAATATATTTCATATTATTATGTTAAAATGAAACATTATTAACATAATAATATGAAAAACCAAAAAATTACATTTTATCTTTTAATTTGTCTAAATAAGAAAACATTTTGTGCCTGTTAAAACCCACATTTAAACATATTTATTGAAGATTTATATATTCAAGTTATGAAAAGCTGCCCAACCAGTATAGTAGCTAGCATTGCTGACTGTTGTGCCAAAGGGTAAGGGTTTCAATCCCGGAGAAGGGATGGATGTTTGTAAATGTATAGTGCCCGTGCGGCATGGGGGCACTCAAATATGAAGTGAGGGGTATATATATGGTAGGGGAAGAGGGATACAAGATGCTCGGACCTGTTTTCCCCTGGTGCTCTCCATCAAAATTGGAAGCAAAACTGAGCTAAATCACACTGTCACCTGTAAGATGCTGTAAGAAGTTGTGAACGACAAAGCTCCTTTTCGTGGGCTGACTGTGGGCCAGCCATGTCAGCATTAGTCAACAATAACAACAAAATGTTATACAAAAGTAACACTGCAAGCTAAGCGAAATAATATACTAAATGCACTGGATACCAAATATATTGCTGAACATTATTTATTACCTTAACATTAAAATATATTATACGACAAGGTTCAAAGTGTGATTACAACAGGACACAAAATCCAAAATTCTTTTCTGCACACTGCTATGTTTTTGACAACGATATAGCTTAGAGTTTTAACCGGCGATGCTACATTTTCTTCAAATGTTTGCAAAAACTGCAGTTCATGCATAAGATCTATACTACTTATATCGCTTTGATTTTTTATCAGTCAATGCTTTTTGCAATTTTTAACGTAAGTTGAGCTGATCTTGTAAATATATGTAAACGAAAATACGCTATGTTGATGTGTACGTAACAGTAGAGGCCGGTGACATAGATGCATTCGATAAGCAATAAAAACAAGCAATCACAAAAAAATTAAATATAGTCAAAAGTCTTTAATCCGGACGTCCATAGTCCGGAATGATCTATAATCCGGACCTCAAAGCTACAAACTTTCTGCGCATGCGTAAACGCATAATGTGTTTACACATGCGCGTAATACCTTTATGCATGCGCAAATGCGTTTACACATGCGAATTTAATGTATAATGGACGGTGTAAGCTAAGCTAAAATTATCTAATTATCTAATTTCAGTTAATGTTGCAGATTGCGTTGTTCCTTAATCTTCAAATTGGATCCGGCTTATTATTTTTTGCAGACTGTTAGAGCAATTTTATAAAAGTAAGCTTGAACTTTCGATTATGTCAAAAAGAATTTCCGATTCTGGAGCTGCCAAAGGATCTACAAAGCGAAAGCATGTTTCGATTAAACAAAAAGTAGAATTGCTGCAAAAAATGGATAAAAGCATATCCTTTGTTTCTCTAACCATTCCGAAATCTGTTTACCAATTTTTGACGTTGCGGCGTGCAATGAACTGGAAGTTGATCTGTCAGCACTATCCTTATCTTCAGGGCAGATGTTTTTATTTTATTCGGCTTATAATTCCTTACTAAATGTAGTATTTCATCTCAATGTACTCGTCTTTGATATGATTTAAATCAAATTCCTCGTCGTTATAAATATCAAGAATACACATCAAATAGTTTTCTGGTTGCAATTTTCTAATTTCGACTATACGTAATGTATGCTTTACGCATGTGCGCGTTGAAAGACATGTTTAATAAAGTAAACAAATAAATATTAAGCTTTTTTTTTTTTTTTTTGTAAATTTTGATACCCTTTAGATCATAATTGCTCTTTATTTCATAAATTACGGTTTTTAATTTTATAATTTCTGCATGCCATCTTACCAGATTTAAACTGATGATCTATAATCCGGAATTGCTGAACTCCCGACAAGTCCGGATTAAAGACTTTTGACTGCAATGCACAAATCACTACAATTGAACAGTAGACACAAAATTAAGATTAAGCAATTTGTTGAATGTGTCTACAGTTACATACACAACGGTATCACTATTTTCACGTTCAAATAAGACAGAAGAGAACTTCAGAGACAAACTCCTGCCCTGGTTATAACTTTCGGTCAAATAAGACAGAGTGCTAGGAGGAAGGGGCACTCAGACCTGGCAAGCTCAAGGTTGCCTTAACACAGTTAAATGCCCCAACCCCTAGGGCGATCCAAAAGGCCACTAACCTATCCATCGAGCCGACAAGCTCAGACTAAGCTGAGTCGACAGGAATACTCAGCAACCCATATTCCATGTCCCCGTCCTGGAGGAATGGTAAAAACATCTGCCATCAACAGAGGCCCCAACCCCAGACAGCAGAACAAAGTCACTTAAACACTGTCAGACAAACTGGGCCACCAATCCGGCCTGCTAACACTACGTCATGGTATACAGACGTCGGCTTTAGGCACCCCCAGGGAGAAACCAAGGAAAGATATGAATATGCAGTTTTTACCCAGTGTAAACCTCAAGCAGTTTAAAGGCTCGCTGAATTTGTCAACTCCACCGACACAGGGTGTTTCATCTCAGAAAACCATCAATATCTGACTATATAGCTCCACTACAACCAACGGAACAGACGAAACAGTACTATATGGTCCCTGTCGAGCTTGAAACAGCCATCGCCAGCGATGACTCCAGTCCTGTGGAGACTGATTTTAAACACCCATGGCCGAGACTTCCTAGGTACAGATTCTAATCAGTAGCCTCCCAGGTTTTACCTGAGTCAACCACCGGAAGGACGCTGAAATAAGACAGGAGGCAGGGGACCACTGGTTGAGCTGTTGTGCCACCACGAAGACTTTCAGCTTTATTGCTCATTCAGTGGGACTATGTCTATTTGAATTTTATAATCATATATATATATATATATATACATAAAATTAATCAATTCTAATTTGAAAGTTCTGTAATGGCTGTGAAGATGAATTTAGAGATTTTTATTAGCTCATAAGTGTTTATGAATAGCTCTTCGAGTCCAAGTTTATAGAGTTATTTAAAAGGACTAAAAGTTCATAGGTTCCTTTTTGATATCTTAAATATCAATAAGACAAGACAAAAACACGTTCAAATTAGACAAGAATTTTCCTGTTCAGACAGGCAGCGAGACAGAATGCTTGTTTTAATGATCGCCCAGCCCCTTTTTGACTAGGCACCGTCGTGTGCCGCATGACTCTGCACCTATTGTCGGCGCGGGCCTGGTAACATTTAACAGGCTGTTACTGTCTTGCACAGTCCATTACATGTATACACCTCTGATAATTATTTCAGAATTAAGCTTCACATTTAATTATGCAAACACACACAAAAAAAAAAAAAAAAAAAAAAAATTTGAATCAGATTTTTAATAATTAATACAGTTTTACCAAGTTCTGATTTTTTTTCAATATTTACAATTCATCTGAAAATAGCAATCAAAATATTTAAAATTTCTAACCAAATTATTAGTTTTACCTGTTTTAAAAAGAAAGAAGTTCTGATATTCATTGAATGCTATATCCATCAAACCTCTGCCCAAGCAATAGTTAGGAAATAGGAGGAATGTTGTTTTAAGCATCTTATGAACTTCACCTAAATACTAAAAACACAAAGTGATGAGGAAAAAAAAAAAAGCATTAAAATAATAATAAAAAAAAAATTGTAAATTGAAACCTTTCAAATATTTGATGTCAAAATAAAAAAGTGTGGAAAAAACAAAGTAACTCAGATCTCATCTACAGACATGGAGTTTTAGTCACATATCTTCAATTCTGTATGTTAGTAAAAAGAGAATTCACAATTAGCTATAACTCCATGCACAATTTTACTTTGAGATTTTTACATTTTTCATTTCAGTTTTGTTAAATGCAATCATGCCTGGATCCAGCATTTTAGCAATCAGTACAGTTAATGACAGGCAAAAATTAAATATATCAATATTTTAAATCATAATGTAATATTTTGCAGTTAATTCAAAATACAGTACTTTTAAAATTTGCAATCCACTATAAAATCTTTCGTAAGGTGCATGCATTTTACTGTAATACCTAAACAGTTTTCTGTAGGCAGAAATGCTTCACAATTTAATTTCCATTGACTTAAACATGACCTCAAACAAATTTTATCTATTTCTCTAGCTACTGATACCAGCAGTTTAAAAAATTTTATAGAACAACTCATATTTTAGGATATGCATATTTAAAGAATAAAGATGAAAGAAGCTATTTCTTTTGGTATTCTCAGTCACTCCAGAAATGGAATTTTGTAAACTGTTTTGTAGTTATTTCCTCAGCATTATTACCAGACTGATAAATGCGAACTATAGCCCCAGTTGCCTTTTGTTTTAAGAAAACTGCAAATTTTTAAAGTTTTCCATTAATTCAGTTTTTCCAAGATTATAAAGATTATTTCCTTATCATGCTGACTTTTAAAATCATTGCTTTATCAAAGAAAGTGCTCAACACAAAAGAAATTTTTTAAAAACTGCTTGTTCAGACCTGCAGGAAATGTGATGGGATATTCAAAATCCAACCTTCCTTTTTTTTAATACAGGCTTGGTTTGGTTTGGTTTATGTGATTACAGCAAAGCCTCGAGGGCTGGCTGCCTAAGGGAAGTTGCCTTCGTGAAAGACATTTTAAAGAAAAATGGCTTGTATGCAGATACACATGGGTAAACCACAAAAACGTTCATGCAGCCAGCTCGTTTGTGGAATTTGAACCTCGGACCGAGCTACTAGAGTCCAGTGACTTTACCACTCGGCAATTGGTAGACCTTTTGAATATATGTTTAACATGTTTCACACAAATCCTGTGCATAGTGATTTTAAGTTTGCTTTATAATAAATAAAGAACTTCTGCACATATTTTGAAAGTCAGACTGCAAGGATGAAACTCATGAGGATTGTCAAAAATTTTTTTGAGAGTTGCCATGCTTAAAGACTCAACAAACTTAGTATTTTAGCCCTCTTGTTCGAATGGGACATCATCAATCTTCAAAACAACTTGTTTGGTATTCTTACATAATAACCATCCTAGGCAGTTACCTATTTTGTCTAAATTTGGAGCTGGGCCTAAGTATGGTCTTAAAATTAATAAAACAAATAATGGACATTAAATGAAACTCTAATAAATCACTTTTCTGTTGCCTGTCTCCTAGATTAGAATGATTCGAACAGTATTAATAGTTTTAGTGATGGTAGCAGACCAATACAAATTATGGAATCCAGAATTATAAAATACAAATAGATGTCTCAGGATAAATTATTAGGAGGATATATTTATAGTTCATTGTGTTGAAATGGTGTTTTTTATGTTGAATGACAAAACAGGCATCATCTAGATAGAAAATCATAGCTTCAAATAGTTTTAAGCTTTAACATCATGTCAGAGCCTAATATGAAGACTTTTGGAATATCTGTTCTCAGTGTTAACTATATACGATGCATTTCTAGATTTTAATGAGTTATTTAGAAGTTAGCAAGTCCTTGTTTATATTATTTATTAGGCTAAAATAAAGTACATTTTACATCCATCATAATTATGACTTTTAAAATTTTATCCCCAAAGACTATTTATGAGGAATAAAAGGGTTCTCCTTGGATTTCTGATCACGTGCTATTAAAACACACTTTCAAAGAAAGTAAAACAAATTTAAACATGCATTTAATGTAAATACTGAACTTAGTGGGATATTTTTAAATATCTGATTCATTTGCTCCATTAACTATTTCAGAAATCTTGTGCTTCTTAACTTTAATCATTAATCTCAGATACATCATATGAAAAGATAAATAAATACAATATTTCTTTTGGGAAAGTTAAACTGAAACCTTTTTCCACGTTTCAAATTGAAACTCTAATGTTATCATCAAAACTTCCCATAGTTTGCTTTTTTATACTGTCAACAAATGCTTTTGTTTTTCAGATTATTCATATAAACTGTATGCACATAGCATCCATAATTAGTTCAAAACACTTACAGCAGCTATGAACAGTAAATATTCCAAAGAAATATAATTTATTACATTTATGGTAATGTATATGACAGTACAAAGTAATAGCAATGTATGAAATATAGGTATCAGATATGAAATATAAGTTCATATTAGTAGTACAAATATAATTAAGTTGCTTCTGTAGAAGTATGGAATGTACAATAATATTTAGAAAGAAGGGGAATATTATACTTCTCTTTACACTAACTTTTTTTTTATCCCCCAACTAATATATTCAAAATAAAGATTAAAATCTGCGGGTAAGAGATGAAACAACTTTTCATCAACTTGTAATTGAAGGTATTATAAGTAATATTCACATTAAAAGAATCAGATGCAAAACTAGGGTTTAAAAAAGAAAAATTGTGCATATTACTCAAGAAAATGTACAGTCTGCATTTCTGAATAAGCAGACCCCCCAATATACATTCCTGAAATATTTTACTGAATTACTTTATTAGGATATGTAATAAATATTCTGATATTGCATTTTAAAGTAAAGAAATTCATGTTTACACAAAAAAAGTACAGCCAACTGCTTTTTATTTTATTACCTGTGGATGAATGAAGTTTATAAACTGCACTTATCAACTATGTTTTGAGCCACTATTTTACAAATTCTTAAAAAAAAACTGAAAACTTTCCAAAATAAATCTAGGCTGAAATGATTATTCAAAAACTGAATAACATTATACGAAAATAAATCTTCAGAAGTTCATAAAAATTAACCTACAGCAAAAAGCATACAATAAAACACATAAAATTATATTAACGTAATTTTTAATGCAATATATAATAAATTTTACCATACAGTACAAAGTCCGTAATCCGGACTTGTCGGGACTTCGGTGATTCCAGATTAGAGTTTTTTTCGGATTATAGATCATCAATTTAAATCTGGTAAGATTACATGCAGAAATTATACAATTAAAAATATGAAACTGTAATTTATAAAATAAAGAGCAATTATTATCTAAAGGGTATCAAATTTTACAAAAAAAAAAAAAAAAAAAAAAAAAAAAAAAAAAAAAAAAATAAAAAATAAAAAAAAAAGCTTAATATTTATTTGTTTACTTTATTAAATATTTCTTTCAACGCGTGCATGCGTAAAGCATACATTACGCATAATGTATCCGTGCGCATTCTTTATGTGCATTCGTAAAGCATACAAAAAAATAAGTTTGTGGTTTTGAGGTCCGGATTATAGATCATTCCGGATTACGGACTTTGTACTGTATTATGAAACATGACAAAAATAACAGATAAATATAATTTTCTAATAATGATTTGTTTTAACTCTCCTATATGGCTGGATGCATACTAGAAGAAAAGGAGACAAGTTACAAACTGAGAAGGCCATTTTGGAATTATGAACTCTGCAATTTAAAGGCCAAAACTCATAGTGTTGATAGGGTTAATTATGTTAAATTATATTAACCAAAGTAACATTTACATAAAAAACTTACAGCATCATATGAAAAAACCTCCAGTAAAAATGATGTGACAACACATGTGATTCCAACAAATAAATTAATCACAATTAGGAATATATATGCTGTACTTGGTTCTTTGAAAAGAAATGATACTGGATACATAACTGGTGTGATTGACCATCTGAAAGTAGTAAAACTTTAAATTATACAACCTGCAGAACAATAAATGCAAAATTATACACAGCACTTATATATTTTAAAGAATATATTTTTCATAAAATATATCTATTGCTTACCCATAAATTAAGAATAGTGATACCACAGCTGGAAAATTTTTGTGAGAGGTATATGCAGGGATATCAAATATCAGCAAAATAAGTACACAACAAGTTGCAGGAACAACATAACTACACTAAAGAAGAATAGCAATTTATCTTAAGAAAGAAATATTAATGTAACAATTGAGTAATTCACAAAAATTAATTACTAGTATAGAAAGATAAACAAGTAATACTTAAAATAATTACTTTTATATAATTACAAATTAGAAAGCACAATTTTCCTTAAATTCAACAAAGTGGTCTCAGTTAAAATTAAAATGATACTTTTTAAAGTTTCCCCATAACCAATTTCAACAGGAATTCAGTATTATATCCATTCCAAAATTATTAAAATTTTAAATTAAATTTCAAATTTTAACAAAATGAAAAATTGCATAAATTTATAGTGTACTGCAATTGAAATAACTGTATGTACTTAATTTATTTTACTACTTTCTTGAAGGCAGTAAAATAAATTAAATATGTACCACAATTTTTACACAAAATGATCATAATTGTTGGGTATAGTTAAACCTCAATAAACATATGAAAATTCTTAAAAACTATTATAAAGGTTTCTTATAATTTTGAAGTAAAAACATTGTATCAGATGAGCAATTAAATTACTCCATATTCAACTACTAGATAAATTAAGAAAAGCATTTAGAAGTTTTAATAAAACAGCACAGAGTGAACAATAATGAAAATTATAATTATGTTAAAATAACAACTATATGCTAAATGCTTTAAATGGAAATATTCATAACTATAATAAAAACTGAAACATGAAGCATTTATAGTACAGTTGACTTGCATTAGAATGACCTTGAGTGTATTTGTAACCTGTCTTAAAAAAAAAAAAAAAAAAAAAAAAAAAAAAACCCTGTAACATATTTATTATAAGTCTAATTTAAGAGCTTTTGCACAACACTGAAAAACCTTTGAAATTATGAGGGTGAATCAAATATAAACGAGCCTTTTGTTTAAAAATTTTATTTTATAGGAAACATCTACATTTCTTCAAATTAGTTTTCTAAATAATCTCCTCCTTTTACGACACATTTTCCCCAACGTTTTGGCAATCTTTTATTCCGTTCTCATAGAATGAAGTTGTTTAGATATCTAATCAGGAGCACATGAATGTTTCCACTCGATCTTTGGACTCAAATCACTTGTCTCCAAGTGCTTCTTTGAAGTGTCCAAATATGTGAAAATCGCATGGAGATAAGTCTAGGCTGTAAGGTGAAGGATCAAGCATTTTCCAGTGCATTTCCATAAGTTTCTGCTGCATTTCACCTTCTGTGTGAGACTTGACGTTGTCGTGGAGGATCAACACTTCGCAGATTGGGCAATATCGTCTTTTGAGCCGATACTGAAGCCTAACTTGATGCAAGAGGCCGCAGTAGTAGGTTGCGTTGATGGTTTGACGTTTGTATAAGAAATCCACAATAGGGCCAACCTCTAGTCCCAAAATGCCGTGATCAACACACACTTTCGCCACAGACAATTGTGTTTGGGCTTTCACGGGGTTTCTTTCACCTTTCTTTCTCCAATTCATCCTTGCACACTTTGATTGAAGGGTGAAATGATGGACATAAGTCTCGTCTAGGTAACAATTTTATTCAAAAATGCTTCCCCTTCTTCAAAACGAGTTGCAAGCAATTGAGGAATGCGAACTTGTGCAGCTTTTTTATCATCATTCAACAACTTTAGAAACCAACAAGCTAAGATTTTTCTGAAGACCAACTGTTTTCTGATGACTGACTGGATACTTTCATAGCTAACACTAAGTTCTGAAACTTGAAGTACTGTGCAGCGTAGATCCCGTTTGATAAGCTCACAAACACGTGCAGTGCTTTCATTAGTCACAATGGTGCAAGGATGATGGGGATGACCTTGATTAGCAACACGTTCATGGCCTTGCTTGAATTCGTCGCACCAAATCATGAAACCATGATAGGGTAGCTTCCCTGAACTGGACATGCAATCTGTGATAAACTTCCCTTGGTTTCACGTTTCCATGGACAAGGAAGTTTTATAATTATGTTTTGCTCAATAGGGACGGGCAATTTCTTCTCACTCATTGTAAGGACTACTAAATAAAGCATGGGACAAGACGGCTGGTGTGGTTCTTTTATTCTAGGCAACCCCACCTAACGTCTTCAACTGCCCAAACACATACATATACCCATCCTGATGTAAAAAGAACTAAAGAGTTTTCTTGAAGACTTTTGTTTTCCTCTTTTGAGATGAATTGAGCAAAATGCTATAAACTACATAGTAAAGTGGCAGTAAAACTGCATTTTGATCCAGTTAAAGTCTTTGTATTATTCTTTATTATTCTTCCCCTTTTACAGAAATTGATTCATCTGAGTGTTACTTTATTCATACATTTTGGAAATTATAAAGACGTTTTTATCAGAAGTAGTTAGCAACACCAGTGACCATACAGTTACAACTGTTTAATGCTGGGAGTTTGATCCCAGGTAAATGCATGGTTAGTTTATGGTTTTTTCTATGTGTATAGTAAAATATGACTCATTTTCTCTTAGAAAGTCCTGCAATAATTTAAAAGTGACCTAATTTAAAATTTGCTAAATAACTGATAAGATGATTATTACTGATTTTTTTATGAAGATATAGAGAAAAAACAACTGATTGTATAAAAGAAGACAAAAAAGAGTTACCACAATCACAACTGCACCATTGTGAAATTTCTTCCAGTTAGAAGAAAATACAAGTGAATAACTTCCATTAATTAATGCTTTGTAAAATAAGAATAATAAAAGATCAATAGATATTATCTCAAATAAATAAGATAACTTAGCATTTATCATTTTATCAAAACAAACTAACTTCTGCATAAATACATGGTAAATAACTCTTTATTTATTATCATTTTACACAGTAACGAAAATTAAGTATAATGTCCTACACACAAATTTGTCCCATATATGAAATCAATAATGAGATAAAATTCTCTAGGTTAACATGCTGGAATAATGCTTAAACATAAATAAAACTACACCAGCTTTTGAATGTAAACCACCTTCTCTGTCAGCTGGAGCTTGAACAGATGGCTTCATGATTTTGTCCATTCCATCTCCAGTTGAGGAAGCAGTTGATTATCTGAGAAAGCTCCTGCACTTTTATTTTTATGCACAAATGTGATTCTAACTTGTCAACCTAGTGTACTTTTTATTTCATTTTAATTGTGTGTGTTACTGCATTTTTTAAATATATTGTTACAACTTGAATGCGAAATGAGCAAAAGTTTCTCTTATGCCAGTGGCAATAGGGAGTCGAACAATAATCTCGGAAGAAAGCGGTCGCTTACTCGACTTCTCTTAATAGAATTTTATTCGAAAGGGGGATAATCCCCATCTTCTGATTTAAAATTAATCTTGAATTAATGTAAATATTGTAATATAACAGATGTGTGTAAATAAATAGTCATTAAGGCTTATTTTAAGTTATGATTTGAGTTTGAAATGACTATTGAAATCAAAAGCTTGCCCAAATAAAATTGTCGGCAGTATAGAATTCGTGGATTAGAACACATATGAATTTTTAGGTTGATAACATCCCAATCATTTGATAGTTTATTTACTTAAACCAGGCTACGAATATGAATTACAACGGCAAAATTCTTTAGTAGTTTTCAGTTTTAAGACATATTGAAAAATAATTTTTTGATAACCTCTGACTATTCTGATATTTTGTTAACTTCGAGCAAAATTCCATATGACCATTTGATACAGCAGCTTTTTTCATTGGCTCAGTCATTATAATGTAAGTCAATTGCTTTATGATAATAAATTAGAAACAGCATACATTACAAAAAAACAGATACTAGGGAACATAATTTTAAAGTATATAACATATATATTTGTCTTTCTTTTTTTAAAAACAAATTTAATACTTACCATATCCCAGAAATAATTTGCAACCCAGTACACAACAGCATTAACACCTGAAACAAACTGCAAGTGTTTGGCTTTTGTATAGCGTTCATACACCAAAAACAGGACAAAACTTGCTGGAACAAAGGACATAGCAACAATGATGAAAATAGCAATAAGAACGTCTGTGCCTTGAAGGCTGGAAGAAAATATTAAATGAGGGAAATTACTAACTTTGTTAAATAAACTTGATTTATGAAAAGAACATGTGAAATACAGAGATTACATACATATAATTTTATAATGATGTAATTAACACACTTACATTTGGTCTTTTGATAATAAATAAGAGGTATCTGTCATTGGATGATTGATAACTGTAATTCCTATAAAGACAAAAATATTAAATTCACCTGAAACTACTAGCAACAAAAATATCACCTAAAAAATGTACAATTTATGAACTTACAGCTTTTCTATTACATTTATAAGCACAATTAAAAATTATTAAAACACACTAATTAATAATATTCATGTGTGAAATATAGCATAGTGCAAACTCCAAGATCTGGAAATATTGGAATTTCGACAATTCAAACTCAGTATTTATTTGTTTACTTTATTAAACATTTCTTTCACTGTAAACCGTTTAAATTATTGTTTTTTTGTGGCAATACCTTCTCTTTAATTTAGTAGTCACTTATAAGGTTCCATTGTTTAAATCCTGCAGTTCCTGTCAATCAAAATGTTTTCTTATCACCAACCTCTCTGTCATTTTCTTCACTATCAATAGTGATATTTTCTGGATTTAGAATCAAACAGCAGATTTTGCCATTCATTAGTTGACTGATGATTATGGCATAGTTATCACAATGAAAAACTTCTGTATTATCATTCTTATTTATTATGACTTATCCAGATTTTTTCAAAAACTTTATTAACTTTAAACTTTTGCTTTCTGTATGTGATATCTGAAAATTTTCAAATTCATGAATATCATTATAAAGCTTAACTAGTGTCTGCCATACACTGCTAGAGATGTATTGTGAGGTTGTCGACTAAAGACATGTTGCTCCATTAAATTTTGTTTTGCCTTTATGACACATTGATTGAATTGTATTAACTTTGTTCATTATTATACTTAGCCTATTTCCCACACATGCTTAAGGCTTACCTGAGTCCTGAATAAATGAATTTCCACATATACTTAAAGCTTATCTAGAGTTAGCACTAGACATTTTGTGGCCTGGTAACAGCCTATGCAGGCCTTAAATTCCGCTGCCAAGTGCATCCCTAAATTCCAAAAATTTTGCTGCCCTCTAAATTTTATATCCCAGTGCCTTGCCTTTCCAAAATTTCAAAGATTTTGCCATATCTTAATTTTGTTGCTCAGCGCTTCTCTAAGTTTTGCCTTCCCTAAATACTTTTTACTGCCCAGGTGGCTTACAAACTCTGCCACCGGTCCTGGGATTATCTGAATAACAAATCAGTTACTTTAAATTCAAACAGCGCTAAGTGTAATCTTTTAGCCTATGAGAAAAAAAATTCTGTAAAATTTCTTCTGGTTAACATACTAACACTTCGCGGGGCAATTAGATGAAATATGTAATCAACTCCAAGCATAATTTGAACATCAAAGGTTACCATGCTCTTTGGTATTCAATTAATAATATTTTTTAAAAAATGCCAATATCAGGGCATGAGTCATTTCTCAAACTCCCATGTATTGATACTCATGCAGTGATGAAAGCAAAATAAAATAATAATGATTTAACAGGTTGGCACCAGGAATATAAATTGTTCAGTAGGTATAAAATCAATAACGCTGAGCAAAACTGTTTAAATTTATGCTAGTTTAGTGCCAAAATGAAATTAAGAATTGTTGTATGTATTAAGAACTGTTTGCATGCTTTATTATGAAAAAATATAAAATGCACACGCATAAAGCATGAAAAAAACTTTATGAAAAATGCTGGAAAATAAGACGACGACAAAAAAAAAAAAAAAAAAAAAAAAAAAAAAAAAAAAAAGATGCACCAAGATGGAGTTATCTGAATGGGACGAAAATTGGTAGAAGTAATGTACATGTACAGAAAAACAAATGATTACAGTTTGAGAAAAATTGGATGATTTATTGAAATGATAGAGCTTCACAAAGTGAAAAAGTCAGTAACATGTTTGTCCACCTCTGACCCTTATGCAAGCAGTTATTCGGCTTGGCATCGATTGATAAAGGTTGCAGATGTCCTCCTGAGGGATATCCTGCCAAATTCTGTCCAACTGGCGCGTTAAATCGTCAACATCCCAAGCTGGTTGGAGAGTCCTGCCCACAAATGCTGCAAACGTGCTCAATAGGAGAGAGATCCGGCAACCTTGCTGGCCAAGGTAATGTTTGGCAAGCACTAAGGCAAGCAATAGAAACATGTGCAGGGTGAGGGTGGGCATTATCTTGCTGAAATGTAAGCCCAAGGTGGCGTGACATGAAGGGCAACACCACAGGCCTTAGAACTTTGTCGATTTACCGCTGTGCTGTAAGGTTGTGACGGATGACAACCAAAGGGGTCCTACTATGAAATGAAATGTCACCCCAGACCATCACCCCTGGTTGCCAGCCTGTCTGCCGGAAGACAGTCAGGTTGGTAATGCACCGCTGTCCGGGGCATCTCCAGACTCACCTTCGCTGGTCATTGGGACTCGGTTCAAAGCGGGACTCATCACTGAATATTCTACTCCAGTCAGTGACATTCCAGTGCGAATGAGTTCGACACCACTGCAAACGGGCTTGATGTTGTACAGAGGTCAATGTTAGTTAGCGCAAGGGGCAGCGTGACCTCAGCCCCCTTTCTGTGAGGTGTCTATGAATGGTCCTTGCGGTCACTGAAGCGCTAGTTGCATGTATAATCGATGATAATGTGCATCTGGGGCTGTGAGTGCCGCTCTGACGATTACTCAGTCTTCACATTCTGTCGTTTCTCTAGGCCTAGCGCTTCGTTCTTGACGCTGTGTGCGGCCATGGTCCTCCCATTCCTGCCAACACAGTTCAATAGTGGCATTGCTCCTGCTCAAATGTCGAGCTATTCACTGATAAGACTAACCAGCTTCTTTCAGCCCAACTACACAACCTCTCTCAAATTCTGTGATCTGCGCATATCGTTTGCGCACCTGTATGCGAGGCATAGTTACTGCCTACCAGAGAGTACATGGAATGAAATTCATGAAGAATTTATGACCTGGAATTGTAATTTCTCCTCTTAAATATCCTGCCAGTTGCGCAGATCAGATGCGCTGTAGCGACAACCGTTCATTCACTGGCAGCCAAAATGTAAAATTTTGCATTTTCCGCTGAAACCTGTATGCATATCAATTTGTGTCCAATTTGCTTTATATCTTCTCGGTGCATCTTTTTGTTTGTTTGTTTAAGAATGTATATATATTTCACAAAATTACACTGGTCATATTAGTTTACATTTTTCTTTCAGAAGGCTTTCCTAGATAGCAAATGATTTCACATGCAAAGGTTAAATAACATAATACAATAATTTCCCCCCTTATGTTTGAACTTTGATGTTAAAATATATATATTTATTTTTTGTTTATGACAAGTCTTTTGGCTCAAGCAGACTAATCCCTTTCTAAATTTTAAGTTTTGTTCATAACTTTTGATTTAACTCTACTAATATGTCTACTTTACTAATCTACTACTCTACAAAATTACTAATTTGATTCTTATTAGTAAAATAGGCGAAATACTTACCTAATTTTGTTATTGTTAATTGATAGTGGATTGGTTTGTTCCCCTTGACAAATCAATTATTCTATGGTCAATAACAATAGCTATTTTTCAGTACTTTAAATTTTACGTTTTTTTAGAATTTTTATGGTTCAAAATATTATTTCTTTACAGTTTAAAATTTTTTTTATTACAACAGAATTCTAAATAACTTATACTTAAAATACTGACTAACATTTATTCCAATAATTCATTGCTTAAATTAAATTTATGTTCCTTGGATATGATAAATGAAAAACCTTACATACACATGCATTTCTCTTTTATCTAAAGGAGATAAAATTACGAAATGGGGCATTACTTTCTCACAGGCTTAAGCTTTCCAACATATTTTGTTTTTCAGAGAGAAAGAGAGGCATTCATTCAGTAACTAATGCCAATATCAGTTTTATTAACTGCTACAGAAAATGTCGCATCAGTAACAGAAATTTCTGTATATTAAAATTTAGTGATATAACAGGCTCATTCTACTTGGTGCTCTGGTTAGAATTATGATTTTGACCAAAACATTAAGAAGTAGGAGAACAAGGCTTCAGATAGATTTTTTTAATTCCTGGACATGGATGATGACAGTAGATGAACTCAAATGAAGGACATTGTCACTAGCAGGGAGATACTTCCAAGGATTCCTAGAAAACTCTGAGTCTGATCAGATACAAAGAAATTTTAATACGTATATCAGGTTTAAAAATGTTTTTTCAGTATTTAACACATAATATCATTTTTATAATAGAATTATTTGTAAATCATTTGGAACTTGTATAAAAGCCAACACCCAAGCTTCATTACTAGAAAATATGATAAACATTTTCAGCTTATACACATAATTAATTATATGGTAATAACTTATGGTACCAATTCATAAAAATAAATTATTACCGCTAGGTAAAATTAAAACTGAACTTATGAATTTCGATTTGAAAAGACATGGCAATTTTTATTTTGTTTCTTTTTTTAATTTAAAATGATGCATACAAAAAATATCACAATATTCAAAAGATATATTATTGTATCAAATTAAAGCAATGAAACATGCATAAAAATTACAATTATGCATGACTACAAAAGTTCATCATCACCATTCAATTTTGTTTTGGATGTAGATGATAATGTATAGATGTACTTAAAAATCTTGCAAACAATGGACATCAGGAATGTATTTAATTTATCACTCATGATACAAAATAATTTGTTACAGAATGCTACTAAGAAATACAGATAAAATAACATCTTAAATAATCACTTTCTTATGCTGACGAGCAACACACTTTTATAAAACCAAAAATCTGATGTGGACACTATATGACTTATTGTACGGCCAATTAAAATTATTTCCTTGAATTAACTTAATTAACTGATCTCTCGAGACAAGTTGAAAATTGCATCAAAAATTGGAAACTTTGAAATTAAATATCCTGGTCAATTTATATCATACAGAAGTCAAACTTCTTAGTATTTTTATTTTTTCACAATGAGTATAAAACTTTCCCATATATAAGTATAGGAACTGGATGTCTGCATTAAAAGTTATATTTTGTTATTGATCTAACTTTTTTTTAATATTTGACACTGCCAAAACATGAATATTTTCATTATTTAAAATACTTATGTAAGGGGAAGTATATGACTATGACCAATGATTGCAAATACATATATATGTGTATGTGTGTGTCAGTGGCGTAAATAGGATGGGACAAGGGGGGACATCTGTCCCCGGGCGCAGCATCCAAGGGGCGCCAAACTGATGCTACGAAATTTTTTAATGAAATGTTTTCCATTCTTGGCACACAGTAAAGGGCACAAATTCTTCAGTTGTCTCCGGGTGCTGGAAACTCTAGCTATGCCCCTGGTGTGTGTGTGTGTGAGTGTGTTTGGTATTGTCAATTGCAATAAAAAAGGGAGGTGCACAACGAGTGGTTACAGCAGTCCCATGTACAAAATTTCAAAGGTCTACAGCTAACTGTTTTTGAGTCATGCAATATATATATATATATGTGCACACATTGACATCCTTTTTGAATCCATTTTACAATCTGTTTTGGTAAAAACCGCTCTTTAATCTGCTTGTACATACAAATGTCATGAATATATATATATATATATATATATATATATTATCCAAATGGATTCAGAAATAGTCAAAATTGATATATTTCCATAGAAATATGATACCCAAAATTTTTCACTGTTACAATACTTCCTTCACCTCCTGCAAGGAAGTAAAGTGAAATAAAGACCTTATTATTGGTTAACAACAATGTGTTACTGTGTTTCTGATTTTTATTTGTAATTAGCAAAGTTTATTCTCTAAATGACAATAATAAGATGTCTTTATATGTTAAAGTAAATAAATAAAAAACAAATTAAATAAAAATTGCTTTACCATAAGCTGCAGCATAACCCTTAGATTTTGGAAGATTAGCTCGCAAAATAGCATTATTCAAGCTATTGACATAGGTTGGCATGCTATGATATCCTTTATTGTTATACCAAACCTGTAAAAAATGAAAAATTATAGTCAAAATTAATTGCCTTCGCATAGGAAAAAGTTCTGAAAGCAAAAATAATTTAACTAATGAATACCTTAGCAACATTCCGAACAGCTACTTTCCGAAAAAGTGGAGGAGCATTTTGTCCAAAATTTGGCGGAACATAATCTCTAACCAAACCAAAGGAAAATGCACCATACCTGAAAAATCAAAAAAGAGATCTTCAATTAGTTCATGAACTGAAATGGATATACACATGTTTTAAGTTGAAAGAAAATAACACTTTCTTTACATACATACACAACAAAAAGCAAAATTGATCATAAGCAGAACGAAAAGTCAATAAAGGTTTAACCAAGTTTTTTAAGTAACTTTTTGAAGATAATGCACAACTTTATGAATACTTTTAAAAAATAAATAAAATACAAAAAGAAAATTAATAACTATGTAGAGTCATTAGGTTAATTGAAAGCAGAGAAATTGAAAAATATGCAACCGCCTTCACCGGGAATCGAACCACGGACCTCTGGAATACCGGCCCAGCGTGCTACCGTTACACCACGAAGGCACGCTAGGGAAGTGGGAGAAATACCTTATATACTCCCTTTTTTAAAGGGCAACTAGGGTTTTAGGGGACCTAGTCGCCAAATCCTGGGTGCAGAGAATCATCATCCACAACCCTTTTAGTTCGGGCGCCACTTGTAGAGTCATTAGGTTAATTAGAAGCAGAAAAGTTGAAAAATATGCAACTGCCGGGAATCGAACCACAGACTGAACCTTCGTGGTGTAACGGTAGCATGCTGGGAATACTGGCCCAGCATGCTACCGTTACACCACGAAGGCACGCTAGGCAAGTGGGAGAAATACCTTATAACTACACCTATGATATTAGTATGATATATGTTAAAAAAGTACATAATATATGAATTTACAAAACACAACCTAGTCATTTTTGTCAAATTAATTTATTAAGTTACTATTCCACACATTTTTCCAATTCAAAATATCTTTTCAGCCTAAGAAGCAAATAATTCTTTAATAACATACCAATTTTCGCTGAAAATGCCTGTCCAAAATTAGATTTAAAGAAATCTAATCATCTTTAGGTAAAACATAATACATTACAACAAAAATACTTTTATGTCTGTCAAATGAAAAATGACCATAACTTTTATGGCTGTTCAATATTGTGAAACTTATTTACATGAGAAAGATTATAAACTTATTCCTAAAGATATATACAATGTCCCATAACCAATATTATATTTGTTGAAGAGCAATTAATAGCACTACTGATACTTTATAAATAGTACATGATACTTTGATACTTTTATAAAACAGTACATGATTTTTCAAAATACTGCTTCATGAGATAGACATTAAAGCATATAATTTTAAAGTAATTGCTTTGCATTTAAAATCAGGAAGAAATCAAATTAGAATTATCAATAATCTGTTTCAACCAACTGTCTGAAAAGAAAGAACATCATTGGTAAATCACTACACTAACTTCATATAAAGCCCCCTTCATGATTATGAATAACATTAATTTATTAAATTGGAATATTTCTGTAATTACTGGTAACTAACTAAATTAATTTAGTAGAAAGCCCCATTCATGATTAAGAATAACATTAATTTATTAAACTGGAATATTTCTGTAATTACTGATTAACCATGAGTGATAATTTGGAATAACTGCTTGAAATGTAGACCACCAACTGCAATGAAATGCTCATCCATTTCAAAAAACATTGTTTTAAAAAATTTAAATTTTGATTTAAGTCTAAAAAACTTCCTGAAATACTACAGATAATATCAAATGTCATTTGTAGGCCTTCTAGAAGTTTTTTTCCATCCCATGATGAATAAATTTTAGTGCCTAGTAGATTTCCAGCATCATACTCTTAATGCATTCAATATCACACACTTATTCTATTACAATTAAGTTGGTAATTTTATTTAAGTGATCCCTTACTATACAAAGAATGAGCATACTGCTAGTTAGTTGTCTACCATGTCCTGTCCATTAAGAGTTTTCTGCATACAGTTGACATTTCTATGCTAGTGTTTTTGGATAAATCATACTGTGGTTAAACACAAATTAGCAATGAAGAACAGGTGTTCATTTACTGACCTTTCTTTCAGATATATATATATATTTCTTTTTAATTTTATGTATAAAAATACATGTCTGTTAAACATTAAGAGGTTCAATATTCTATAATTCTAGAAGCATAGTGATGTCATTTAATATTTCCACATTGAAACTGCATTTAGAAAAACTGATTTATATACAGTCAAAAGTCTTTAATTCGGACGTCCATAATCCAGAATGATCTATAATCCGGACCTCAAAGCTACGAACTTTCTGTGCATGCTTAAACGCATGTTGCGTTTACGATGCATGGGCGTTTACTGTATAACGGACGGTATAAGCTAAGCTAAAATTATCTAATTATCTATTTCAGTTAATTTTGCAGATTGCGTTGTTCTTCTAATTCGATCCGGCTTATTATTTTTTGCAGACTGTTAGAGCAATTTTATAAAAGTAAGCTTGAGCTTTCGATTATGTCAAAAAGAATTTCCAATTCTGGAGCTGCCAAAGGATCTACAAAGCGAAAGCATGTTTCGATGTCCATCAAACAAAAAGTGGAATTGCTGCAAAAAATGGATAAAGGCATATCCTTTGTTTCTCTAACCATTTCAAAATCCATTTATCAATTTCACGCTGCTCCGCCGGGGGGCGGGGGACGTCGCGGCGCGCAATGAACTGCAAGTTGATCTGTCAGCACTATCCTTATCTTCAGGGCAGATGTTTTTATTTTATTCGGCTTATAATTCCTTACTAAATGTAGTATTTCATCTCGATGTACTCCGTCTTTGATATGATTTAAATCAAATTCCTCGTCATTATAAATATCACGAATACACATCAAATAGTTTTACGGTTGTAATTTTCTAATTTCGACTATGCGTAATGTATGCTTTACGCATGCGAGCATTGAAAGAAATGTTTAATAAAGTAAACAAATAAATATTAAGCTTTTTTTTTTTTTTTTTTTTTTTTTTTTTTTGTAAATTTTAATACCCTTTAGATCATAATTGCTCTTTATTTCATAAATTACGATTTCATATTTTTAATTTTATAATTTCTGCATGCCATCTTACCAGATTTAAATTGATTATCTATAATCTGGAAAAACCGATAATCCAGAATAGCCAAAGTCCCGACGAGTTCGAATTACAGACTTTTGACTGTATATATATATATTCAGAATAACATCACTTAGTTGTTCTAAAACAATATAATATAATTACGGAGTATTTTGCTAGTTTGTAAAAGAAGGTTTTCATCATTCACTCAGTTCTTATAATGGGCATTTTTGAAAAATATTCGAATGCTTCAAAATGAACATGCTATTATCATTGGACAATTAAAAACATAGTGAAATATTAATGCAAAATTATCAATATATTTATTCAATAATAATAGCATGTTTATCTCCTATAATTTTTAATTCATAATAAAGTTTAGAAACAACTAAGTTTAAAATGTATTCTTATCAATGATTATTAACTTACATACGCCATACTTTAAAAAAAAATTACATATAAGACATTACTTTATTGTCTTATATTATAATTACATTGTAGAATAACAGATGCTGAAATGCAGATAAAAATGTGTACTCCTTTTAACTTACATTTGTGGGAAAATATTTTAATAAACAAGACAAAGAAATACAAAAACTAAATGCAGAACAGTTCTATTTTTTCTTTCTCCTTTCTTAAAAAATTACTAATTATTGTTTTAATAAAAGATGAAATTTATTTTCAGCTACCTTCTTAATCTATACATTCCAGTGGTGTATAAGAAGTACTCATGTTCATTCTGTCTGCTGATATCAAGCAAAATATCACTAGTGACCACTTTCACAGATGGTGGATCAGTATAATAATCTTCACACACATATCCAGTTTTATCATCAGAACAGTGGCAGTTTGGATAGTATCTTTTTGGAGGCTCTGTTAAAAAATTAGGTTTCCAAAATGCAGTTTAACTCTTTTTTTAAGCATATGAAATGCAACACTAAGGCAACAATTTCAAGAGTATTTCAATAGATTTAGTCATTTTACTTCAAATTTAATATAATAGAAAGAATTTATTTTGAATTTTTTGGGGGAAATACAGCTTTAAAAAATACTACAATATTCTTTTTTGAATAAGCAGAGCAAAATTTATTTTTTGTATGAATTTATTTATTTATTTATTTTTGGTCAGATATAGATATTCATATTTTTCATATATGTCAAATATAATAGAAAATAAAGTCCTTTTTAATTAAATAATTTATCTTTAGATTAATTCACTGCAGATTTATTCAACTCTATAAAATGTTCTACACATCTTAGTAATTATTATGGAAGTACACATCTGATTATTTATATTGATATAATACAGCAAAATCTTCCTACAATGCTTATCCTTAGTTTTAGATAATTTTAGTCTTCAGTGACACTTTAAAGACATAATGTTCAACAGCAATATTTACTCATACTCAAAGGAATACCATCTATGTGAGGTAGTCAACCTGAGAATTTTCACTAAATTTATTTTTGAATAATGCATAATAAATTAATAAAATGGATGCTTTTCCCAATAAACAGGGAAATTTATAACATTAACATTTAAAAAAAGACTAAAGTTTTATACAAACAAAAATATTTCAAAATAGCTTGATTTTTTAATTATAATTTGTATTTGATAGAGATCTAGTGATTTTCCTAAAGCATAATATACATAGTATATGCCAGAATTCAAAACACCAAAGAAAATACAAAATAAAAAAACAGCAAAAATGACACTTAAACAAGTTGATATACATTATACACCAACTATTAATCATTATATAATTTTTCCAACATTTTAAGAATTTAAATTTTAGGTACTGTTCTTAAAATATATTTCAATATTAATTTTCATATTATGATGAACCAAAAAATCATTGCACAAATGTCATATATTTAAAAACATCAACAGTTATATAATGCATAGTATTTTATAATACCGAGTTCTTAAGAAACACAATTTCATTTAATTGAGCTTATTAGTTTTATCACATAAATTTCTCATTTAACAGAAGCAAAATTATCATGTAAGAAATATTCAAAATTAAAAACACAAGAAAAATCTCACTATCATCAATAAAATGGAAATATGCAAAATAACATTTCATATTTTAAACTAAAATAAATACAGATTTTTAACTGACATTATAATTTGCAATTACCTGTTGACTGTAATGTTGTAATATTAGGCAAGAGGTTTGACATATGTGGAATATTTGTAGGTGACTGAGGCACAAAATTGTCAAATGGCACACCAGGTACAAAAACACTCTCACAAGATGGTTCAAAAAAGGCAGACAGCAGATCATAATTACGAGCAGAAAAATTCATTTTTTCATCAAAACTGTTATTGAACGGTGATATCAGAACACATGTAGCACCAACTCCCGATGGCAGAAAAAGAGTGTTAGAAACTTCTGTAGAATTTGCATCTTTGGACCATCTAAAGATAATAATAATATGAACACAGATTTTGGAAAATCAAATGTAACTACATAATGAATGCAGTTTAATATAGAATCAGTGATTTATAAAAAATTCCAAATCAGAAAGAGACATTCAAACAATGATGGCTATATAGGTAAGTAACTTATTACAGTAAAGCATTCCTGGGCTTGCTTTGGAAATGAAAAGCTAAAACTGACTAAAAACGGATTTGTTATTTTGTTTCATAAAACAATATAAAATGTTTAATAGTGTGATAGAAAAAAAAAGTTCACTCTCTTTCTTTAAATACTTCCAGCTGTATAAATTTTCAAAACAAGGTATAGAAGTTCATCGAAATTCCTAATTATACATACCTCTGAGAATTTTGCATGAAAAATATGACAAAAATTATGGCATATATTTACAGAAATTGTATTTAATGAAGTTGAAAATGTTCTCATTATATTATACTCTATTTTGAGAAACTCTGCAACTAAAAGTATACATCTAAGAAAAAAAGCTAAAGAAGCACTAGTCTGTAGTCTGCATCCTTAAATATTGATATACCTTGCATGCCTAATTCAAACACCTTGAACATTTAACTGCTATATACTATTACTCAATTAAAGAAGAGGAAATGTGACAAATTTGGAAGTCTCTTCTTAGCACTGGTAGCATGAAATCACCTCACCCCCCAGTGAACACCAGATAACTGAAACAGATGCTCCTTGAAGAATGAGAACTCTTACCCCAAGAACTATTAGATAATCCGGTGATGAAAATGGATAGACAGTGCAAAACATCCATTGCCACTAGGGAAGGTCATATCCCTTACTAAGTGTCTTTAGTTTGTTGATCTCCCTCTTGGCAAGACAGTTTTTTGTACCAATGCCATTCTGTCAATGCCTTTTTCTATTAGTTTCATACTTAATGCATCTTCTTCTCCTTTATTTACTTTTTTTTTTTTTTTTTTTTTTTTTTTTTTTTAATTCCTAAGCGGCTTTGTCCCTGAGTGCAATATCTTATACAAAATCAGTAAGAAATTATCTGAGATACCATTCTGTCCATCCTAAAAGATGTTTTGCTATGATTAAATGCAATAAATTTGCACAGCTAGGGCAAATGACAATGTAACTTTCATATTCTTCCATCACATATATTTACATACACGGTAAACTGAAAAAAATTCTGAAGTATTCAGACCAGAGTTTTAAGAAAAAGCTTAATTTTATTGACAGTCTTCCTGCATATATGTATATATAGAGAGAGGCTAGTAAATTTAAATTAAAATAACATTCCAATTTTCTGATGAAGATTAAACATATTTGGTTACTTATTATTATGGTAAAGAAACTTGACAGCTCTCTGCCTTAAGGGAGATGCCTTCATGAAGGATCTTCTAAGGAAAACTGGCTCTTATTTATGTTACACATACGAAAGACCACAATGATGTTTATAATTTGATTCCTATTAAAACTAGCAAAATAAATTTTATGCATAAGAATATTCATTAAAAATGTACTCCAACATATTAAACAACTAATAACATAATTATTAAATCACTTACCTTTCACAATTGCATTCAAGATCTAATTCATTTCTTGAAAAAGGTATCACATTCCCTTCAGGCTGAGTGTAATTATAATACTGAGATGTACTGAGGACTAAAGGAGGAAGGTCTTCCACTTTTGGTGCCGTTAAAGCAACAGACATTGCAATGCTTACAAAAAATGCAGGCAGCAAGATTTGAGAGAAAAGTCCTTTCCAGTTTCGTTTTGTACAGTAAAATCTTTTTAAAAGTATAGTAGAGAACTGTTGAAGCAGAAGCATTTTCCCTTCAACTTTGTAACTGCCAGCACCATCAAGACCCAAAGACATTTGGTCACAATGCACTAAAAAAGTCCAAAACCAGTTAAAAAAATGAAAGTAGATAAATATCTAATAAAAGTTTTGAAGCACTGAGAAGCATTAAATATTTTAATTACCCATATTTATAATAAGCCAAACATTTCAGGAAGAAAATTCAGCAAATACAACCTAGTCCACTTTTTTAAAGTGTAGCAGCCACTTAAAAAAGTTTATTCATGACTGAAAACAAGACTATTTTAAATCTCAACCAAAGGAATGGTTTCAAGGATATCTTTCTGGGCTTTTCTTTATGTGTAGCATTCATATGACCAGTTTTCCTCAGAAAGCCCTCTACAATATCATTTACTCAAGCATCTTACATGTTTCCTTACAAAACATTATTGATTTAGTAGTACTTTAATAATTTAATAAATATTAGTTACACACTTTAAATAATTTACACATTCCATTCAGCAAAGTTCAGCCATATTCAAATTTACAAAAATTGAAAGAAAAAGCATGCAAGCTTTGATCATTTGAAGTCTGAAAAGAACGCAAATCTCATTCTTCAATACTTGATGCCATTGTCACAACGTAAGAGACAAGAGATTACTGCCCTTGGCATAAAGTATCAGAAAATGATTTGATTTTAGTAAGGTACAGAAAAATATAGAAGATTGTGTTTTTTACACACATCCAACAGAAAGCAACTCATTCAATTATGAAAGACTACTAATTTTACAGAATAGCAAGAAATCTCTGCTTCAGAATGAAATAAAGTAATTTTGGACTTTAATTTAAAATATAGTTTCCATTATTTAAACTAAACAATCATTTTCTCAAAAATGAAAGTTATATCATTTTAATTTTTTTAATCTTTTATTATTTATTTTACCTCTTACAGACTTTTTTAAATCACAGGATGTTATGATGATTGAGCTGTTTTTCATTATTTAATTATTTTTAACTTATACCCCATGGTTACTGCAATTTGGCTTCCCCCTTTTTTTTCTCCTTCTACTACTGAACAGAGTATATCATCTGATATATGTACAGAAGTTTTCTTAAACTTGTATTTCAATTAACCATTGCGATGATATAAAGCATCTCCAAAATAACTATTCACTTAGCATTAAAGATGCAATTTTTAAATTAATGGGCATTTCAAAAATTTCAGAATTATAAGAGTTCCGATTTTATAATTGAAATCTGCATGAAGTCTTATTTTTACCAAAATCCTCATTCTGTGATTCCAATTTACCAAAACTCCTTTCTGGGGGTTGTACCTCGTTTCCAAGAAGGTACAACCCACAGTATATTTAATATAAATCCTACAGTTATAAGCAAACCCAACAATATCAACCAACCAAGAGAACAAAATTTCAAAAGCTCATTAAAAGTGGACTTGACTGTATAATAAAATAAAGAGGAAATTTACATATTTATGGTTTAATAGCTATAAATATTCAGTGCATGCTAAATACAACAGCAAATATTATAAAAGCAAACAGAATCTGCAAAGGAAGAGCCAACAGAAAATAAATCCCAGGTTGCATGCAAGAAAAAAAAAAGGACAACACCTATTTTAAGTTAGCATGCTTATTTACAAGGTGCTTCATACCAGCTGGACCTTTAGTTACATGATTATGAGGCAAATGAAAATAATCTGCTTTGCCATCATCAGCAGACTTTTTTCTACTGTTGGAAGAACTGTTTGATATTGAAGCATTAGCTTGTTTTTTCTGATTTGTTGAGGACTCAACTAAACTTGTATCATAAAACTTCTCTGCCTCTACTTTGTCTTCCTGATAACCGACTGAATCATAAAAACTAGGAGACTTCTTCTGTTTCAAGCTGATATCACTTTGTATAGAAACATCTATATATAGCATAATTATCAGAAAATTAAATTTTAGGTTAAATTAAATTAAATTTTCATATATGGTGCATACATGCAAATTTAAACAGATTGAAAATTTTATAATAATACAAAAATTATTTAAAATATTCTGGATAAACATTTTATTCATATAAACTAAAATGCATAGATAATTTAAATGTGTTAATAAAATGTAATATTTCAATATTACATCCGATATTAATTGACATTAATATGAGAATTATTACAATTCCTTTTTTCTATTTAATTTGACTTCAAATGTATATCTGAACTTTAAAAAAAGCCATTTTTTAATGACAAAATCAATTAAATTAATAATACAATAGGTATTGTTTAATGTTCTTCAAACACTATTTTGTTCACATTAACCAAATTATTTAAACAGAAATATATTTAAAATATTATATGATGCATATTTTACATAACTAGAAAGAAGTTCATTTCATTAATTTTGAATTGTTTGGAGTTGTTAAGCAAAAATCATTTACAATCAGTTTAATTTTGTCTCCAGAAATTACCTAAACGAAATTATATCATTCATACAAATATGCAAAATGCTACTTCATCTCAGAACTAGTCCTCATTAATTTCATCTTTTTCTTCTTCAAAATATTTTTATATGTTCTGCTTAAATACAGTTGGGAAAGCAACCAGCAAATATTGTTCTCTGTCATCAATGCTATTATTTTTTATCTTTTATATAAATACCCACCAAAACTTCAAATTCCTAACAATTAATAAAGATAAATGAAGATAATGGATTTATGTCTTCTACTTCATTAAAACTGACAAACTTAAAACTTTTCTTACTGCCTTTAAAATTCCCGAAAATGCAAAGCTGAATCACACAGTTTAACTAGCTAATTTATTTGCATCAGGGAAGAATTCTAGACCTTATTTCAAGGATATAATATTCTTTCCTCTACAATAATTCCTAAATTATTGGTTGAATTTATGCATTTGGTATTTAAAGTAGAATTTAATTTAATGTGATTTAGAAAGAGGGTTGTGACATATTCTATGTAGTTGTCAATTAAGGAAAGACATTCTGCAGTTTGTTCCATTTCAAAATCTATTTATGGAACATTTTTACATTAATCACGCCTAAAATCATAGCATTTTAATATTTTACTTTATCTATTCATTATTATTCTTTTCAAACATTTATAGATTTTAAACGCTTTTAAGAAGTTTATTAACACAGACGAGGTTGATTTAAATTAAAAACCATCTGATGGCTTTAAATAGGTAAAAAAAAATCCATGCTGCAATATTATGATCATATTAAGTGACACATTAATTATAATAAATGATGCATTCTCGACATTTTTGTATAACAAGTGGGTGGGACTTTAAAAATTCAATAACAACATCTGACAAGGAAAGCTATAAAGTTCACTAACAACAATAGCCATGAAACTTTCAGAATAATCATATACATTAGCAAAGCGACATGTGCAAAATGTGGCATTTTGCAATTGTCAACATCCTTCAGAATATGATGCATAGGGTGCTTCACAGGATATAACCAAGCTTTTAGTTGAATAAAAACTCTTCAGCAGGAGGAGCTAGCGACTTGAAATTATGCACACATGTGCAGGGATCCAAAGGAAACCTTTTATGACTCTGGTTAGTTTTGAAGAGTAATTTGTTTGCACCAAAATGTACCAATATTCAAATAAAGAGTCTTTTAGTCAAAATATTTTATCTTTGTGACCATAGACCTGCGAAATACTTGGTGGCCTAGAACTTTCAAAAATAGGCCAAAGCCATGTTCAGACACATTAAGAGCATTAATTGGCAAGTTTGAATGAACAAGTTCAGTGACTGATGACAAAATGGACATGAAGACCAAACAAAAGGCAGCAAAGACATCTGAAAGCATCACAGTCAAATTATTACGGAGAAAGGGCCATCAGCTTGACATTTGGCTCAACTACTTGATGTCAGCATGGAGAATAACCTAACTGTGATACATGCTCAGCTTTGTCTTCTCCCATTACACCACTATGTGATACTTTTATGATGGGGTACATGATCTCCACTGATGACAGAATGCCCCAAACCAGACAGATACATTAAGCTTTCCAATCAATAGCTGCAAATAATGCATCTGCAAATAATTTCCAATCTATGGCTGCAAATGATGCATGCATCACTTTAGCACACTGTTTTGAAAGTTTCAGACCATTGCAAAATGCCATCTGCTGGACTTGTTCATTTACATATCTGTTTGCCTCTGAAAAGTTTTGTGGTGAAAAGTTCAGCAAGTCTAATAGTTGTCTTTGTAAATTATAACATTCACCTTAATTAGATACATTAAGTTCATATGCTTACATGACGATGAAAAATGGTAGAGGTGCAAGATTTTTAAAAATATTTATTACATTAAAGCGTCAGTTAAGTACACATTGACTGCTTTAGTTAATGAATTTTTATACATTTTTTTATCACACAGAAAAGTAATTGAAAGCATGAAGATGATTGATAAGAAAATTTAGCATTTTAAAATAATAGAAATTCAGGATTAGCAATTTAAATAATTCTATATAAGTATTCTATAAATACACTTAAATTTTAAGCATAAATTTGAAAACTTCCAATTTAATAATAAAGGATATAAGTAATAATAATATCAAATATAATTCAAAATTACGAAGAAGAATTAAGAAAGTCTGATTGCCAATCTTAAAATTAAGCAAAAATCTAGAATTCATACTGGTTCTATAGAAAACTGTATCGAAAATGAGCAGTCATGATTTAAACTCTTCAGAATCAGTAATATATATTGGGTTTTAATGAAAGCTTCCCGCCGCCACAAATTTTGTCTGCGTGGACAGTTCATGTTAGCATGTTTATTCATATTTTGTCAAATGATTTTTTGTATTTGAAAGAAAGGGACTTGCTTTATAACACTGTGTTGTGAAATTCGTAAAAATATATTATCATTAAGCACAAGGTGTCTGAAATGAAACTATCACATTACCAGATTAGAACCAACATTTATTTCCAGTTCTGTTGCAAAAAGTCAGCTAGAGAAATGTCACCAAATTATGTGTACAGCTTTAGGTACTAATGTTGTATCATATGACATTGTGAAGGTTAGGTACCGAAAGTTCAGAAACAATGACATTCAAGAAGCAGAGCGCCTACTGATGTTGAATGAGGCTCGCTTGCAAGAACTTGTGGAAGACCAGTATGCAACCACTCAAGAACTTGCTAAGAAGCAAGACATTTGTACTATGTCTATTAATCGTGCTATGCATCTTTGGAGTCTTTTCTTACGCCCACTATATAGCCCAAAAATCACTCTTTCGGCCTTTTATCTTTTTTCACACCTGCAGCAACATTTTGCTGGTGCTTATCTTCCATTCTGTACAGGACATGCGAAATGAGGTTGAACTGTTTTTGAAGCTGTGGCTACCAAGTTTCTAGATCGAAGGCTTTGAAAAACTTCCTAAACATTGCAGAAAATCTAGATTTGGGTGGTCATTACTATCCACACTAAACTGCTTTTATATTTTGCTTCTAACTTTACTAAGAACATTATTTGGCAGAAAACTTTCATTACAACCAGAAAAAAGAAAATATATATATATATATATATAAACAACACAACCTGAAATAGGGATTTCTGATATTTATTTGTCTTTTAAGCAATATTATTAACAAAAAATGGGGGGGGGGGAAAAAAAGAGCACATTCATACCATCTCTCTGAGATTTTTCAGCAACTTTTAAAAATACTTCTTCCAGTGTTGTATTTTTTATACCGTAACTTGCAATTCCCAAACTAGACAAATTTGATTCCAAGGCATCGAATAATTTTTCAAAACTTCCTTTACGAAGTTCATTGATAGGAAGAATGTAATGCAGCTCTCGTTTACTTTCTGATACAAGATATGCTGTACTCACATGTTTTGTAATAAATGCAGTTACAAAATTCTCATTTTTTTCTGAAAAAAAGTAAAACATGAAGAGTACACTTAAGAGTAACAGTGAAACTAAATAAAATAAAAGAGAAACTCAAAACTAAGAAAAAAATTACATTAATACCGTCTTTTTCTGAAAATAAGACATCCTCCGAAAATAAGCCCTATCGTGATTTTCGGAACTTTTTGTAAAATAAGACATCCCCTGAAAATAATCCCTAGTTAAAATAATGTGACAAAAAGAATTTGTTAAAAAGTGCTGTTGATTTATTAAGTATAAGTTAATATATGTTTAGCTTTCCTAATACTCGTATTTCAGAGAAATGTTTTGAAAACAAAATATTCCGAGAAATTAATTGTTTACCTCTACAGTTCGTTTCAAATTAATTCTTGGAATTTATCTTAACCAGATGAATTTATCTTAACCAGAATTATCTTTATAGGAATTTATCTTAACCAGATTTATCTTAACCAGAATTTATCTTAACCGTTTGCCTCGAGAGAGATACATTCACAGGAAAGGCATCGTCATCCGTTAGTGTCGGTAGACTCTCGTCGGGGTGAAATTTGGGCTGAACCATAACTCCCGAGACACATACGTCGCAGCGACCTTTTTCCAACACCCACAGAATGAGTCGAAAATCAAAAGGGGTGATTGATGGGTTACTTATCTTCTCAGCAGTGTCGCATTAGGATCACAGCGGGGCGGTTTCGGGAAAGTAAAGGATGCGGACACTTTCTTTCAATAGCTACCCCCTCAACACATCTTATGAGATCCACAACAGCTTTCTCCCTTTCTATTAACAAACAAAGGGATTTGAATGATATCTTTTCAATTCTTAAAGATTCAATTCTTCTCTTTTGTTACAGGCCATCGAGAAAATAATAAAACAAAATTCAAGGACATTTCAAATACTAGCTAATGTCCTTATTTTTACTTTTTACAAAGCTTTTTCTTGACAATTAAAAATTTCATTTACATTGTAATAGATTGCAATAGATTTGGGGTTGGGTGCAAAGGGAAAAATATCTGCTCTAAGGACTACACCAGTCTTTGTGTTTTATGTTGCCCCTTAGGGGATCGTTATTCACCATCCTTCAGTGTGAGGTACGCTGTTCAATCTGATTTGAACAAAACTTCTAAATAGGCTTTCACAGGTGGTGAAAGGGGGAAAAGAAATACTCTGAGCCCAGTTTTAGACAAAAAAGTTTACCTTTGGATGCGAAAAATGGCACAAAATGTTTGCGATTTTCCTAGCGGCGAACTGGTTAAAAATACAACATAAGGCAGCAGTCTACATTGAGTGACAGTGCAGGTATACAACGTTCATTCATTTCAGTCTTGTAAGTCTGATTATTTCCTCATACGTAATTTTATTTAGAAAATAAAGTGAATAATTTTTAACCACAGTTAAAATGAGTACAAAACGAAAGAGCTATTCTGTTGAGTACAAAAAGGGAATCGTGGAAGACTCGAGGGGTGTAAATCTTGTAGCATTCTGTAAAGAGAAGATACTGGATCTCTGTATGGTTCGTAAATGGTGTGCAGACTACGATTACCTGCGTCAACTGGTGGACCAAGGGAATGAGAAAAACACAGAGTTGGATCAGGTCGGCAGCCGTTATTTTCTGAGTTGGACGATTGCACCTGGGAATGGATTGCAGGCAGGAGAGCAATGGCTTTGGTTGTGCGCAGGGCTGATATGCAAAAATTTGCCCTTGAAACAGCAACTGAATTTGATATATCCACAGAAGAATTTAAAGCATCATCACACTGGTTGGACAACTTCCTTAAACGATATGACTGTCTCTAAGGAGATCAACCACATTGTTTAAGCTGGAAGAACAATGAAGTTGTTTAAGCGTGCACTTGCGTTTAAGCTTTTGTTGATGGCATCAATTTTTCGAAATACCAACTCTCTAACATGATTGCTATGGATGAGACCACGATATTCGTAGGCCAAGGAGCTCAAACGCCAGTTCACCACAAGGCTTCTTCGTCAATTTACATTCCTTCTACCAGTTACGATTGTGCACGTATTACCTGTATTTTGGCGATTTGTCTAGATGGCAAGAAAGTATCGCCATTTTTAATCACTAAAGGTAAAAAAGACCAGATTCAACGTGTTTCAGGAATTTATGTCATTGAAAGTGAAAAAGCAGCCTGGTGCACCCAAGCAGTTATAAGAAAGTGGGTTGATTTTATGCTGCCACCACTGTTGAGGGTCAGAATAGAAAGTTTACTTGAGTTTGGGATTCAGCCAGTACTCACCGTGCTAAAGACATGAAAAACTTTCTTGCTGAGAGGAAGATTGATCAAATAATGATTCCGGAAGGAATGACTAGGTTACCACCAGACACTTGACATTGCAATAAACAAGCCATTCAAGGATCATTTGCGGATGGAAAATCAATGAATATATTGAAAACAGAATGGTGAGAAATCATCGGGGTAATTTGTAAAACCAGGCTTACAAGAAGTTGTGAATTGGGTAAAAAATTCATGGGACAAAATAACTGATAGTGATGTTTCCAACGCACTACGAACAGGCTACTTAGACAAGAAGTATTCATGTAACTATAGCTATATCGCAAGACATGAGAGATTCGGACCAATTATTCAACAGGAAATGGATTTGGAAGAAAATCAGAATATAATTTAGAATTTTATTTATGATGATGTTCCAGAAGAAGATGACACGACTGTAATTGAATAAATTTAAATTTCTGTATTCTGTGTAAAATAAATATTAAATAAAAATATATAAATATACTTTTAGTTTTGCTCTCCTCCGAAAATAAGCCCTAGCGCGTATTTTGGACCAAAAAAGAAAGTAAGACAAGTGTCTTATTTTCAGAAAAAGATGGTAATGAACTTGAGTACTTAATAATTTGATTTAAAAATTTTTCTTCCAGAAGTAGCAGAATTCCAAGAAATTTACATACTAATGCCAAAGGACATGAAACACTGCCATAATCTGATGCTAAACCTTTCAAAATATGAATTATACACTTTCTTTTTTAAAAAAATTATCTTAACAGAAAATCATGAACTACATTTAAGTAAACTGTTATTTAAATTAATCGCAGAAATAAATTATAAAATATTTTTTTGCTCCAAGCTATATTGAAATTTTGATATTTTATATAAAAATACAGTAAATCTTTTAACAGTAGATTAACTGAGACCATAGTCCATCAAAAAATCAGGGAATCTTGAAAACTGGATTATCTATTCTCTGATTTATTTAATACATCTGAGAGAATTTTACTTTTTCATGTCTATTGTTTTATTTTCATTAATGAAAATTCAAAGCACATTTCATTTCAATATCAACGAACAATGAAATTTTACACACCCGTATGCCCAAATATCTATTTTTAGTTCATTTTAAATAAAACAATGAAATTAATTTTATTTACATGGAGCCTAAAACTAAATATATAATCTTGTTTTTATTTTTGCAGTACTAAAACTAAACAAAATACAGTACAAAGTCCAAAATCCGGACTCCTCGGGACTTCAGCGATTCCAGATTTGGGATTTTTCCAGATATTGGATCATCAATTTAAATCTGGTAAGATGCCATGCAGAAATTATACAACTAAAAATATGAAATCGCAATTTATGAAATAAAGAACAATTATGATCTAAAGGGTATCAAAATTTACAAAAAAGAGCTTAATATTTATTTGTTTAATTTATTAAACATTTCTTTCAATGTAAGTTGTTTAAGTTGCTTCCACCAAAAATTCAAAAAATTCCTTTTTCTTATGTCATATACAGATGACTTTCCAATGCCATACTCCTAACACAATTTTGAGACGGATATGCCTTTATCCAGTTTTTGCAGCAATTCCATTTTTTGTTTAATACACATCAAAACGCTTTGTAGATCCTTTGGCAGTTCCAGAATTGGAAACTCTTTTCGACATAATCAAAAGTTCAAGCTTAGTTTTTATAAAATTACTGTAGTAATAACAGTCTACAAAAAATAATAAGCTGAATCAAATTAGAAGATTATGGAGATTAGGAGGTCTGTAAGTAGATTAAAGATGAAAGTATTATCACATGAAACAATCAATTACACTGAAAGAAATGTTTAATAAAGTAAACAAAAAAATATAAGCTTTTTCTTTTTGTAAATTTTGATACCCTTTAGATTATAATTGTCTTTATTTCATATTTTAATTTTGTAATTTCCATGCCATCTGCCGATTTAAAATGAGATCAAATCCAGAATCACGAAGTCCGATAGTCTGGATTAACGACTTTGAAGTACTAATATAAAAAAACTTTAACACACTGCATCAGTATTACTGAAGCTGCATTATTGATAAACATGCGGGTTGAAGCAAAAATGTAAATAATGACTCCGCCAGTCCGGCGTCAGAGATATAAAATAGGTGAATGTTTCGGTTTGAGATGTGATGCCAAGCAGATACTCAAAATTTATGCTTATATGATTTTTTTCCATAACGGTGTATTTTATTTAGTGCCAAAGTGAAATTAAGAAATGGAATTTTTAAGTGAAAATCTCCACACATTTTACTATGGAAGCAAAAATAAAATGTGCACGCGTAAAGCAAAAAAAAAAAAAAAAAAAAAGAAGAAGAAGTTTGTTGCTTTGAGGTCCGTATTTTAGATCATTCCGGATAATGGACATTCGGACTTGTACTGTACTTTTATTTCTGCAAAAGAAAATGCATAAAATATTTTTATTTGCCTAAATACAAATTAGACAATTA